TATCAATCATCATATTCGTGAATGAGATGGGATATTGCCCAGGCACCCACAAACAAGTGATTTTCTTGTAGATTTACTTCTCGAACCTTTGATCTAGAGGTCTAACTCACAAGACAGTGGAGCAACGTCAAATATAGTCTTTTGGTAACTGGTGTCCAAAATAGGTGCATGCGCCATTCGTTCCCACATGACCCTGGAGTCTATGCACACCATTGATTTAAAATCAATGTTTCCCAACTCCTAAGTAAACCATCCGTGTCCATCAACCCGGTTCAAGTTCCGGGCATTCGCTTTCCGTCCTTAGACTGCAAGTATGCCTTACTTGACGAATATAAACGTACGCAACACCTAGATCTACGGTTTTCTCTTATCTGTCTTCAACTGTCTAACAACTGAAACACGATTTCCCTGTAGAAAAAAACAACAGTTGCTTGATTTCTACGCTATAACAATATCTACTCCGTATTCAGTGTTATTGTAGCCTCCATACATGCTGAATTACTTTTTTTCTACTTATAGGAGATCATTTAGTTGTTGGTAGTTATGATAGTCGTTTTAATTGGTTCGATATCGAATTGGGTAATGTCCCATTCAAAAAGTTACAGTGAGTTTATTTAATGATTTAGTCAAGTATTGATTTCAGTTTAAATTGATTCATTCACCAGGGTAAACTTAGATGTGAGTCACACCTCAAGTATGGGGGTCAATGATACTAACCACCTTTTCGAACTAAAGTGCGTAGAACTGAGTTCGAACGAGGGTCTAAAAGTCAAAAACCTTAACTACTAGATAACCGTTCCACAACTTAAATATATTATGTATGTCATTACGAATTTCTTAATCAGTCGTTGTGAGGTAATCTATTTTCTGGGTGTATGTTGAACGGTTTTTAAAATTTAAAAGATTCACTATAATAACAGAACTCAACTAACTGTACAATACGGATTTTCGTTCTCATCTTTAAACCAAATTTCTGGTCTAGGCTACTGATAATCCTTGTAGTTAGTGCTGAGCTTTTGAACTGAACGGTTTTAAATCGAATAAATTGAAAAATAAACCGTCACTCCTACTTTCATTCCTAATGTCAACAAACAATGCTTTTGTGAAGCCATGCATGAAGTCCATTCAAATACTTTAAGCCGTTGTTTAGGCTGTCACCACTAATTAAACGTTGGTCCACACTGCACTCAAACAGGACATCGGATTTTTTCTTGTAATGGTCCTTAGTATATGTGGTTTTGTGCAGATTGTGGAATTCTCAGAATTTGAATCACGAAATTATCTTGGCTATTTAACGATTGGAAACTTGGAAGTACTGGTCGGTCATTTCGTTCTTGTATTAGACTACTTAGCAATATGCGTCCACGACCATGCAACGGGGAATCGGACACGAGCGCGAACGCTTGACTTCTAAACCACCACGTCAGCGGTGTATATGTCTAACTTCAATCAATTCATGATATTGCACAACCCTCATATATTGCCTGTAGTACATAACTGTCATGTACTCAACATTGTTGAAGTCCACTGGCCTCAGCTTCTAAGAACTTCAAGGATTGTATCTTAATGATCCATTTTTTTGTTTGGCATGAAATCGAAATATCGTGATATGCTCTAAATGATCAACACAACCCATATCATTATTTAGTAGGGTTTAAATTATCCCGTTGTTAATATTATTGTCTAAATTTCGGCCACTCCTTGTGCCACATAATCATCCCAAATTTTTATTGTATGCATCTTGAAGCAGGATTTTGCGTAATTTATTTACTGACCTCTTAGAAAACGTCGTTTTTCATCCTTAAACTAAATACTATTCATGCTAAGGTGACAAATTCTACGTCCATCACACATGTAGCGCATTACAGTTAAACATTCAAGTCTACAGCTATTCTATGATATATAGTCAGTTACTCGTCCTGTAGAAATCTAAGTCTAAATTAAAACAAGAAATCTTATCGCTCACGTGTTCAATGATTAAACCTATTCTACTATAAATGTCATATTTATCGTATTTGATATCGCCACCTGGATGTTCTAACCCTTCACATTAGATGTTGCGCAATTCGCATTACTGCATATACTTCAATATAGATATAGTTGTTTTTCACTTGTAATGCATAGATTTGTGGAAGTAATAAATTGTTATTTTTTAGGCTTAATCATGGCGCTGTTAGACAGTTAGCAGTCCATTACCGTCGTCCATTAGTTTCTGTAGCATTGAGTGATGGTACGATTCTCATAATTCATGGAAAAGTAATCGAGTAAGTGAAATCATCTGTGTACTAAACACACAGAAATCATTTGTTTTGTTTTATCAATACTCTGTTTGTATTTATTAATGCATGAATGTTGAAAACATTGAGTTAAACTCTATTCTAATGAATAGATAAGTGATTTTAATTGCAAGATTGAATTTCCTATATTAGATGCTCTTCAGAAACACCGATGATCGAACACAGAGTCGCCGAACACTCAACCGGGTAACGCTAGGTATAACAAGCATAACAGCGGAATCGCTCTCACAGACAAGCCGTTAACTCGACTAACACCACGACGGTGCCAAAGGTGATCTAGATTGGCAACAGCCGTTTTGGTTTTCACCCTACCAACAACATTAACAAAGCGATCCAAAAACACAAACGTTTCAACCACTAATGGTTCACCCGAAAGAGTGCAATCACAGGCTCCCGCCAGTCTTGTAAAAGTACTTTGCATCTAAAAGGTGCAAATTACATCTCATACTTCTGAGCTCTGAGCTTTAACTGATTAGTTGCGAACTGCGTAACTTGGGCATCGTCGCATATTAAAACGATCCCATCTCATTATCAAGATTGCAAAGTCGTTCTCCAAGCAACAGGTCTACACCATCACTTCATTCAGAGCTGTCTCCAGAATGTCATCAATGACAAAGTTGAGGAGGATAAGTAAGGTAACGCAACCTTGTGTAACACCACTGCTGAATTAGAACAATACAGAGGTGGTTGGATCGGCTCACTGTCTCCAAGGTGTTTATGTACAGAGCCTTCAAGAGGTTGATAAACTCTTTAGGTACATTCTCCTTGAACAGACAACCACAAAGCATATTCCTGTTTCAAAGGCAGTCGTAATGTCAAGAAATACAATAATAATCTGGGGTAAATATGGTGATGGAGGGTAAATATCTGGTCTAAAACCATCATGCTTTTCAAAGGTTCTGCATAATTGGCGAATACTAAGTATATTTAATATAGATGTATATGATGTATGATCAAGCAAGTCTCATTTAATTACTTAGTTATGATTATATTGTTTTTCTTCTCATATATTGACAAACACTGATTGCTTTGATCCGCTATTTCTCCCCTCAACGCCTCTAAAAATAAATTGTAGTGATCTATTATCAAAACCAGTTGTTATACCAGTTCAATTAATTCGTACTGGACAACCAACAAGTCATTCGAATGTATTTTCCACTGTGTTTCATCCACGTCAACCACATGTATACAGTGGTGGAGAAGATGGCAGTGTTAAACAATTTGTTGCATGGAAATAACACTTTGATTGATTAAATCTATTATGATGAATTACTTTGTATTCTCATAGTTCGAATCTGTAATATTTTTCTTATTCTTGTATATATATATATATGTATAAATAGAGATATATAAAAAAGAAGTGTGGATAAACACTTTGTTTTAAAGGGAATGAAAATAAAACTGGTGATATAAAATTTTTATAACCAATTACCAAACGCGTAGAATGTAATCTTTAAATGTAAATTTCTGACAAACGAAAAAGCATCATATTGTGGCATTATACCCCTAGCTGCTTAATTTAGCACAACACATTAAAGAAATTGATGATGACTAGTTAGTAACTTAAGTTCTAGACGAAGATGTCCAATCACACATGGTTATCCAATAATCAGCGACCTTATAGACAAATGCTGTTTTAATTTGTTTAGCTAGCATATCAAGGCAAATGATGATGAGTATCCTTAGTGAGCATCTCAGGGCCGAGTAATCTGATTATTATTCTCAGATCAATCTTAATGAAAGTTATTTTTGTGAGACGATACACTATTAAGTTGTGATTTTTTCCTCGAGAAACATACCATTTTATTTTTACATCAACACAACAATATCATATTCCCAATCTGTCGAACACAAACTATCAAAAAAGGGATATTGTAGTGGTATTGGTTCTCAACCGCATGATCCTTGATGGCAAACGTACGACAACTGAGATTTACATTCAACGCTTAACACCACAGATGTCAGAAATGGTGACCGTTTAAACACTTAGTACGGCATAGCTCACCCGACTAGGTATGGTCACTATGTAGCTTATTGCTTTTCATATTAAATACATTACCTTATCCCCAGCCCAACTATGTTCTTCAGAAGTGCTAAACATATTGCTGACCATCACGATAGGATGACCTAGTAAGGACAATAGTGTGATTCTATAGTTTGCACTGACCTAGACAATAATCCTACGATATTACCCACCTTTTCAATCAAAATGAAACAATAATATCAAGTTATTATTTGAAATATGGAGAATATTTTACCTGTACGACAGATCATTTGAACAATATATTAAAGGTGTATATTAAAAAAAGATTATTACAACTTGTTCATATCACAGCCACATATACGTCTGCATTTTATTGTTGAAAAAATGCGACAAAACAAAAAGCATCACAATACATAACGAAGTAATTAAAATAGGGAACGAAACAACGATTGATGCAATGATGAAATCAAGAAAATAGCAGTAGAAATCCACACTTTATCCCAAATAGGATAAAAGGCGAAATAAAGCATGTGGAGAACTCGAGACACAAATAGTATAACACCTAGGAAATGTACAATGACTCAAGTAAACCAGAAAAATCATCTCTAAAGTATGCCGTTATGTATGAGGGGAGACAAGAAAAGGTGATGTTGGTGGTAGTAGTGAGGAAATCGCTTGTCGCAGTTTAGAGTTACTTATATTACTTTATCAGTTTCATTTCATTCCATAACTGTGCGAATAGTCCATGTCTAAAATTAAATAAACATTGCACAAGTATAATACATTTTACGTAGAGTAAATATGTAATTGTGTTTTCCTTGACTAAATTTAAACGTCATACACAAAGAAAAAAGCGCTGACAACAACTTTTTTGTTCAATGATAAATAATAATGTATAAATACCAACTACCCAATTTAAAATCTTAAAAATATGTAATACACTCAAATATGTACATAAGAATAATACCAATTCCATAGGCTTTGAAGTAAATAAAAGAATTTGACAAGAAACTTATTGGTACTATAACACAAGGAAAATAATATACCCGTGTAGGATTCTACTAACAATTCAAAACAAATCACTAATAGTAGCAATAATGGTTATTGAAGTAAACATTTAAGTTATCAGTGTGTTTTATTATAATTAAGAAAAATACGATGAAGTTATATTATTCATAATTATTTGATTAGGACACACATTTTTTACAACTTACCCTATATTAATTTGTGCTATAGTTAAACGATATTGAAATCAATGTTTAAAACAAAGTTTCAATTGAGAAAGTTCATTTTCCATTGAAGTAACTATAGTCAGTATTAATGTAACTTCTTTTTTTTTGAATACCAAGAACAAAGATTAATGTAGTCGACTTTAAACAAGTGATTCAAAGTAAAGTAGTAGATGAAGCTTGGTCAAGATGTTTTCAAGGTTAATGTTCTTAAGTCACTCATCATTTTGGATTGATATTCTGAAGGAAATGACTTGATTTCTTTTTTATATTACATTGATAGATGAAGGTAGTTTGGTTGATATTGGAATGATAAGTGCGATTAGTTTTTGGAGAGATGACTCATAATCGTTCATAATGGATCCCTCTATTTTGAATTCTGGTATTTTTCCGCATATACCTTTATAGTTTACCTTTTCGAGTCAAGTTATCAATGTTTAATCTTCTTTTTTCGTCAGAAACATATTATTTCGACTTTTTATTATTCACCGTATTACTTTCATTTTGTCATGATAATGTGGTATGGCAATTTAAGCCAACTCACATCCGTACGAGCCTCTAGGTTGATTATGTCTGTCTGTAATTATTGATAATTTATATCACCATATGTTTCCCTACCACTGATTGATATCAACTTTCTGATAACTCTACATACGAGAAGTTTACAGCTTCATGCATACAACACTAGATTGGTACCCAATGTCCTTTGGATCAATGTCACCAACTGATATATCAATCCATAGTTTTCTTTACTTTTAACCCTATTTTAACTATTTATCGGGTAAATCTTCCGTATCTATGATTATATATTTTAATATTATGTTAATTTCATTCAATGTTTGTATCACGCATAAAGCGAGGCGTTTTTTTCAACATAGGAATATTTAGAATTTCAGCAAATTAAACTTGCACTAGTATTTTTCTGTTCATTATTTAGATTTTAAAAAACACGCCACTGAATTCCGCTTCAGTAGTCTAGAGATTAAGCATTTGTGTAAGACAAAAGATTGGGACAGAATAATGGGAGGTCGTGGATAAGCATCGATGAGAAATCCCATACTAGGACGACACGGCCTTCCAGTGCTTCTAGGTGTTCAATGGTTGTCTATCTCAGGTCAAATCGTGATCTCGATAAAATCCGACAACCTTCACAACCCGATATTGATGAAAATAGCACCAGTCAAAGAACATGCACCTTTGAAAGTCCCATATCTTAATCAATACAGATTCACAAACTTATCTTTTAATGAATCTGCCTGAATTGCAACAGAACACTTAACATCATTCAATTATTCATATCAGAAGCATTTATATGATACGAAATAGGTATACATGATGATGGTATACTACCATGCTTTTATGTATAGAATACATAGATTATTGATGACTACAGTCAAGTTATGGAGAAAGACGATCCTATACAGTTAAATGTTAAACGATAACTCATATCTTTTCCTCACTATCTTTGTATGCCACCACTTGGTTTCATACTAGTTGTAATGTCGATATTTCTGTAGGAAATTTTCAGGTTCAGTTAGTGACTGATTCACTGCTACGTGATCTGAAGTTTCATTCGATCGGCATGCCCCTAAATGCCCTGGTACGGTCAAGAGTGGAGAGTCAGCTTTCCCTCTAGAAATGCTCCCACATGGCCATGTGTATATAGACTCCTCCAGGGAAGTCCTACCCACTGCCTCCTAGTGGCGAGGGTGTCGTTTACGAAATCGGAAGGCGAACATTCGGCACTTTAACCGGTTTGGTGGACACGGAGAGTCCACCTAGAGGAGTTGGAAAACCCTGATTCAAAACCAATGGTGTACATGGGCTCCAGTATCCTGAAGGAACAAACAGCGTATGAACCAATTGTTGGTCACCTGCTACCATCAGACTGCATCACTTGACGTTGTTCCACTGCCTTGTGGATCAGACCTTTAGGTCGGAGGCTCTGGGTGTGGCCCCCTAAGAGAACCCCTGCTTCGGTTTGGGCAGTATCACAGCTCTCAAACAAATCAAATGAGGTTTGTGTGGCGCATATGTATCTGGTGCCTTCTTGTACCAATATCTACGTGTTCAAATAAATAAATAATAAAATTGGACCGGCATCAACTATTCAGTTATTTTTTCATTTTAATTTTCGACCGCCTAGAAATGTATGTATGAAGAATTGGACTCATACTCGAAGCTAGAAATCACTAGGGTTAGTTTAGTGACACAGTTTCAATGAGAATAGAAAATATAAGATGACAGGTTATGAAAAGACTAATAAATCACAATTAGATGTTTATTCATTTCGTATATAAGAATAGGATACAAGATAAAACTGAGACTGACCTTGCTTTTTTGATCTTCATACGAAAGTACTTTACGCGTTTGATCTGCATTGAAACGCATTAACGAGCATAGAACTTTTGACAATGTCTACATTTGAAAATAAGTTTGGAGAGAAAAACACATCACTAAGACATAGTAATTATTTAGAATACCAAAACACAAACAAATATTTGGTCAATATGACACAACAACAACAAAATGCAGACAAGAGAGAATTTTTATGACGAACAATGAAATCAAAAATACCATAGTACATTTTAAAAAACGAAGATAGAAGCACAACCAAAATGGACTTCACTACTCTTAAAAGAATAATCTGTTGTTTTTTTTTGAAAAAAAAATACCCAGAAAATAAACTACAACCCATTGCGGACGATGGTGTGTGTGAACATCTTGAACCAGTCATCTAATGCTCCCAGGTTTTCAATGGTGATCCAACATAGATCGGTTGATGATTTCAATGAAAATAAATACATTAGTAATTAAGTTTCATTGAGAAACATCGAGATAACGACTCTTTTAATAGGTTTATTGAAACTGTCGGATAAACACAGTACAGTACTGACTGACGTTAAACAAATAATTCATGTTAAACGGATTAGCAAAGCACTAAAAAGGATGTATTTCGTTTATTTTAGAAGAAAAGGATGGTCCATCATCCCCTCCCCTCCAATGCAACAACTTGAAGAAATTGAACAGAGATATAAAAAAGATATTATATATATATAGCAATAAATAACTTCACAAACTTGAGTTTCACGTCCTTGCATATACTCGAAGAGAACATTTTTCAAATACTGGAAAGTAAACATGAAAAACACAACAATGAGCAATTGAATAAATAAACATTCGTCAAGACAAATTTTCTCGGATAGATTTAATGAAAGAGAAAAAAAAAACAACTATTTACAGTAACTGAACTATGATGAAATTAAGTTTGAATTGATGATTAATAAAATTTAACGGTTTAAACTATTAAATTTCAATTACATAGTTAATTAGACTAATGATGAATTAATAAAGTCAATTGTTTATTGGAAATTATCTGCTAAGGATATAATGCTTTAGCATCATGAACTCTCGAAACACTACATGAATTACTGGACATAGCCACTCATACTCATTAACCACTGAGTATTAACTAATGTTACGCTTATCTGGTTCTTATTACTGGTTGAATCCCATCGATCGAGTTGAAATATGATTGGATGTCAGATGAATGCATGCTGTCGATAGGAAAGCATGGACCTACAGTTTATACTAGTTAGCACTCGAACAATAGTCACAGTACCATAGATATTGTTGAATATACATCTTGCTGATGAGTGTTAGTTAGTACGAAACCCAGGTCGATGGTTTATTGCCGACTGATTCCAACCACTTAATACTTGATAACAAGAAGTACTCATAATGTTTAACTATATCACTCTGATCAGTAGGATGATATATAAGACAATAATAGAAAAAGATAATGATAATAATGAAAAATAGAAACAGAAATGATTTATTGCTTGAGTCAGCCACTCAAAATTCATTTACACTGCCATCGACTTTCAAGCTCGAAACCCGTTCTACTTCAGTCAGTTGCCATCATTTGTCATCACATAAACAAGAGACACACTCAAAGCTAACAAAACGAATCTGAGCTTACATTTCATTTTAAAATATCATTATTATGCGATAGGCATTTTAAGGTAGCTTGGACATGTGCTACAGCAAGCAACTTTGACCATAATCTATTGCTTTGATAAAGTGATCAGGGATGACTATTTTAATAGTTGATTATAGCTATGATGATTAGAGGTTTTTTATGCCACACATTTTGGTTAGAGACTGGCACGATTAAAAGCAATGCACATAAATCCCAAAAGCAAAGTCATATTGAGGTGTGGTGACAGTATAGAAGTTGGTCAGGATAATTAGAATCTCTAGAGATGCTATCTTCTTATAACGTCAAGAAATTAGGAAGAAAGTCGACCTCAAGAATGACGCAGTTTAACTTGGTCTAGTGATTTTAACCATTAGTAGTAAGGTCTAAAATTTGCAGGGTCAATACATCAAAGATCGACTGTGACTGTTGATTTTAGACGATAAGACCACTAGTAATCCAGATTTGTTTTCAGGTACCATGTGAGGAAATATCCTTCGAATTAGATAACTAACAAGGAAGTTTCAACCGTTTATAAAACCATAACAACACTATAGCTCACTTGACCAGCCTAAATAATTAATTGGAAAAATGATAAAAACAAATGACAACTTCTAATGACAATTGAACGAGAAGAGATGGCGATTTCTGAAGTGATTTAAACAAAAAGTAACCTGTTAAAAGATTGGTAGTAAATTAATAAGTGAATCAATGAAACCTATACGAAGATTAAAAAAGGACGTTTTATTTTTGTTTCCTTCCAAAGAAAAATCAATACACTTACTTCATATTCAACTAACTCATGTAAACGATTATCACTTGGGCTAGTCAGCAAAACATGTTGATAATCAGGTGGAATTGAATTAAACGATAAACTAGAATTGTTTAGTTTAATTGTACTATCCACTGCATGAACATGCAATGATTCAAATAAGGAATGTTTATTACTGGCACTACTGCATGCAGCTGTACATTTAGATTGTAATGCTTCAAAATCGGCAGAAAGTTGTTGTAATTGATTCTAGGTAGAAAATGAAGAGAAAAAAAAAGTATTATCTTTGTGCAGGTAACTCTTTTTCGTTGCGAAACCAGTATTTACTGATGGTATTTGAAAATCAACGAGCTCTGGACACATCTGTTATTTATGCTGTTTCCTAAATTTGGAACATAGAAAGTACAACATCCATACGAAATCGATACTTTCAGGTCTCACGAAGAACATAGGTAATTTAGTTCGAAAAAAAATCCACAACAAATAGTTCATAAATTCCAAGTTCAGTCATTCTATAAAACCAAGTGATCCCATCACCAACGTAATAATAATAATTATAAACAGACACGTTATTCATTGTCGCATGCTTGCTTGTAACAAGGAAATACTACCACAACAAACGGAGAATCGTATTATATTCCACTTTAACATTTTTTAATTGTAAATATATTAAACCATTGATTTGATTGATTTATTTGAACTCGTAGATATTGGTACAAGGGTGCACCCAATATATATGCGCCACACAAATCTCATTTGATTTGTGTGAAGGCTATGATAATGCCCAGGTGCCCAAACCGGAGCAGGTGGTTCCCTTAGGGGGCCACACCCAGAGCCTTCGACCTAAAGGTCTGATCCACAAGGCAGTGGAGCAACATCAGGAGATGCAGTCCCATGGTAGCAGGTAACTGACGATTGGTTCATACGCCGTTTGTTCCCTCAGGATACTGGAGCCCATGTACACCACCGGTTTGGAATCAGGGTTTTCCAACTCCTCTAGGTGGACTCTCCGTGTCCACCAAACCGGTTAAAGTGCCGGATATTGGCTTTTCGACTTTCTGATTTCGTAACCAACACCCTCGCCACGAGGAGGCAGTGAGTAGGACTTCCCTGACAGAATCTATATACGCGTGGCCATGTGAGAGCATTTCGAGAGGGAAAGCTGACTCTCCCAACTCTCGGCCGTATCAGGTCATTTGTGGGCTTTCATTTATTTTTATTTACAAACTATTTTCAGCAAGTATCTTCCCTTATCCATTTTTATCGCATAAATGATAAGTCTTGTTGCTGATTGCTTAGGCATTGGGATTTCTAACTATTTATTCCTAGTGCAAAGAAATTTACTTTGAACTCTGAACAGAGAATAAACAACGATATATATGGAAGGAACTTTACTTCAGAATTTATATGTTCATGAACATAAAACGAGGGTAATTATAGTGTTTCACGTGATTCCAGAGGTTTCTAGAAAATAGGTTAAACTTGATAACAGAATCTGTAAATATCTAGTCAGATAATAATAAAATACTCTGTTGTCTCTTAGAGTTATCTTGGCGACTTCCAAAAAGCGCTGATTATTCAATGCATTTTTAGCATTTTCTAGATTTTTTAAGACTTCTTCTAGGAATTATCAAGGGTTCCTAATAAAAAATATATCTGATGTACGAATTTCAATGTCATCTTCATTTGTTTTACTGAAGGACAAACAACAAAGTAAATATACCAACAGCCATGGTGTTTTCGGCTCAATTTCAAAATATTCAACTTGGCAAGAGCAATGTTGTAACGTTTTGTTCCATTCGAGACAAATATTCGATTGCATAATCAGTAGTAAAAAGCCAAAGAGGCAACATTGTGAAACAAATTATCAAATCAAAATCATACGAAATTCAATCGTTCTGGATCATGCAGATACCTTGTACAAATGCATATATACGTTATGCCCATTATTTATTACCCCAATAGTACTGACTAAATAAAGCTATCATTTGTATTTATGCAATAAGCTGGAGATATACATATTTCCTCAGCTATAATCCAATACTATATCAGAATTAAAAAAAACTTACTTGAAGATCTGTATTGTGTAATTGAAGCGCTTCATAATCACGTATAGGAACCGAAGTAGGATATCGAGATTGGCGCAATGCTGGGTGTCTATAAAGAAAAAAGAGGTGAGTAAAACGAAACGAATGCCATAATATTTTTTGATGCTAACTTTCCAGTTTTACTTTATGTGTAGTAAAGGTCTTTTCATGGACTTCAACCAGTTAGACAAATATTTAACACTAAGAAGCAGTAGATGATAATTGAGTTGACATGTTTAAGGAACACATTAACAAAGTATACGCACTACATATCAAAGAATGGGAACTCAGAGTCTTCAGGTAACTCATGCTGCCTACCATTTAAACCACTGAGCTAGTCATTCAATCACAAGCAACGCAGAACCAGGCAAATATGAGAATCACCACAAAATGTTACACTACATAAGCGACAGTATCAGAGATAGTAGGAAACATTCAGCGTAAACAATATAATTCTGCGAGAAAAATTAATTTATGGAATAAAACGTTTATGATAACTTAAAAATCACAAGTCGATTTAAGCTAGACCACCACTAAGAACCTGAAAGTACTGCATGAGCGTTTCGTCCTAGAATTGAACTCCTTAGTACTGCGTGTCCACGAACCTACAAGCGAAACTCGAACCTAGGACCTTCGGTTTCGCGTGTGAACCCTTAACCTCTAAACCAACCTACGTATTAAATACAACAAAGATAGTAACATTGAAATTCAATTTTTCCAACTTACAAAGAATCAATAGAATCTGACTGAAGTATTTCTTGACGTACTTTTTCAATCCAATCATCACACTCATCATTTGACTGTAGATGAGTATTATTATTTACTTCAGAACATAATTCAGTTGATGACACGGTTCCATTCTCATGATTACAAATCTAAAGAACAAATATAAAAAGAAATTAGTTGGAGTACCATTGGACGCCAAAACCACTCAGCAGTTTCGCTTTATCCCGGTCTCGAGCTCCTTAACGGTATCCATCTACAACCTCATCAGTAATCCAACTCAGGACAGAACGCTAAGATAATAGAACTAAAGTGATCGTCTGCATCTAATGGTATATTTTAAACTTCAACCAATTAACAACATAGAATGATGATTATCCAACGCCACTAGTGACGACCATTCCACTCCCGACATGTCAAACACTAATCAAAACTCCTCACTTAGAACTTTAGAGACATTCTGAAGTATGCCTACTGGTGAGCTGAATACTATAAATTACTTGAAGGGATAGTACTACTAATCAGTAAAATCATTACTTATCCAAAAAAGATATAAAAAAGTAAAATTCCCAACAAAACCTACATTAGTATTGGTAGTAGTGTTAATAAGTGAATTGTTTTCATTGAGTTTTATATCACATTGTACATCGACATCATGACGAGAAACAATTGGTCGGGTTGATGTTGTAACAGGTGTATCGACCACTTTAATGGGTTCATATTTAGCTTCAACGGTATTATTATTTTCTGTTAAACGCTTGAAATATATGTAGAAGATAACATGTGACAATTTAATATTTTTTTAAAAACAGAAATAATGTAATTCATAAAAAGAACACAGAAAGGACTCTTTTTTTTAAGTACAAGTTATATAGGAGCCAAAGATGACATTGAGAAAACACAGTCTGTTGAACGTGGATATGTCTGAGAAATTTGTTAAACATGTTGAAAGCTCTGTACACAAACACGTCAGAAAAACTAAAAGGATAACAATCATTTCTTGACATTTCAGCTAAGCAGTAGGCTTAGGCAGGGTTTCCCAATCTCATTACCATTCCTCTTTAATTTTCTCATCGATAACATACTGAAGACGGCTTTGAATGAAATTAAGTAATAATGGTGGTGTAGATTTGTTACCTGGAGAAAGGCTTTTCAATCTTGGGGATAGAGATGATATTGTCTTACTGTGTGATGATACGCAAGATATGCAAATCGCACTTAATCAGCTGGCAATTACTGACCGTAACTATCACATGTAATTCGTTTTTTTAATGACAAATACTTCTGAAAGTTTGCATTCACTTTTTTTAGTATCATATTTCACTAGAATATAAACGTGTACTAAATAAATAGATTGCATTAAAGAGTAAACTGTTGAGTTGATTAAGTAAAATCCAACACCTTGAAGCCCATTACCAGAGTCATTCAATTGTCATAAGCAATGTAGAACCTGACACATGTATGTGCATCAACCCAAGTTACTAAGCCATGTTTTAACACAGAAAGATAAAGTTATCGAGATAAATGTCCAAGTAGAAGTAGTAATAATACCAGAGGAAATAGAAAATGAGGCAAAGACAATATAATTCAAGAAAAAAATGAATTTACAGAATAGAAAGTATAAGGCAACTAAAAAACACAAGATCCATATTAAGACAAGAATGAGTGTGCTAATCAGTGCGATTCATTATATAGTAAGTACAATGTACATATACGTCTTTACAATGTAAAATTTCACAGTGATTATGCAAAGGTACTGTAATGCCTGGTTGACAAAATGTGGAACTATAGTAAACGTAGTGACTATATATCTGTTCTGTTTTTGTACGCAGATAAATGAAAAGTTGTTATCGAAACTAGTTAATACAAATGAATAGTGAATCATGTTATAGGTTGCTCATATAATTTGAATTACCAATTACACCTAGGACCAAGAGCATTCGAAATTCAGGGGAATAACATTAAATTCTCATTTTTTAAAAATAAGTCATTTTTACTACAAACATTTCAGTTATTAAACTTGATAATGATAAAATTAAATACTACCAACTCACTTTTAACTCCGATTGTAATTCAATAATACGATTCTTAAGTCTTGTATTCTGACGATCATAGTCTGAGATAGTTTCCTCGAAATATGCTAATTTTTCGGAATGACTTTGTTCCATTTGTTTTAACTTTGTTAATGTTTGATCTATGAATATTAGAGAAGAAATTTACATGTAAGTAAAACTGATTGGAGGGTAATTTACTAAACAAATGGCTAATAAGTGTGAAAATAATCATAAGTCTGGTCTATCTCCACCCCCACCCCTTTTAGATTAACCATAAATTTTAGAGTAAATAAGAGATATTGGATTGAGAAACACGATATTCCCCCCCCCCAAAAAAAAATCTCAACTAGAATCAATAAGAAAAGGAATTCCTAAAACTATCAAAGAGAACTTGTAATCGGCGCGCGCAAAGTTGAATTTGACTCTTTGAAACTTAGATCCTCGATGGTTTGTTTACAAGGAGATCATTGAATTTCTAATTGTTATATGCTACTGTTATGGTGAATTGAACTGTAATGAAATAAATGGGACTATCAAATAATCTTAAATGTAACACATACAATATTAGTATGGTTACTAGTTATTATGTGTCAGAGTTCCACTACAACATTTTAACCAAAAAATCGTGTTAATAATAAGTAGTCAATAAAAGATGACGTAGAATTCGATGCAAATTTATATCGACCCTATTAGTTTTTTTGGAATCAAATTTAGCACAAAAACAATGCCAAAAAAAAGATTAAAAGTTAAAGTGATAAATATCAAGAGAAACGACGAACATAACGTTAAAGGAACAAAAGAAATCACTAGACTTGGATTGTGGCTATCATATTAGTGGTGGGCAACAAAAGTAAAAGCAATAGAAAACGATGTGGCGTTAGGTAACAGTAGATAACTTGTCAGATTTATCAAAGACACCGGTATTAAAAATTCAGGAGTTGATGGGGCTATTTCAGAAAAAGAACAATGATCAACTCTCAACTCATGAGGCTGAAACAATAGGCAGAACAATAAATATATTTCTGTTATATCCCAATGAGAAGAAAAAAGGTATTTCTGACGTTTCGTGACCTAATATAAGCCACGTTTTTTAGAGCGAGTGAATCTTTATCAACTGAAATGGTTAGTATAAGTATTACGTATGTCCATCAACAAAAAACGTCGACGAGCGATGTTGTCTGGTAAAAGAGTAGGTTGAAGGCTAGAGGGAGCCAAGCCTAGATATGGCATCAGCCGATGAAGACAGTAACTGTAGGAACTGAGCTATGTAGGCAGGTCCAGACTACCGGATTGGAGGACGGGTCATTATCGCGGTTAATGGTGGGAGCTCAAAATCGTTCCCAATGGTTTGGACGCATTCAATCGTTGACTCCATCTAGATCCCATGCTTATAAATTCTTTATAGTTTTATCAACTCTTAATTCCACTAAATAATGTTTTCTCGAACCACACGATCCAAGCCTAATCATTTCTATTACCAATAATACTGTTACTACCTGTACTATTTTCTGTGACTAACCCTTACAATTTCATCTCACTGTGCTAATGGGGTTTGGCAACTTGAAACGATGTACACATCCATCAGATTCTACGTTGTATATAACTGACTGACTCACTTAATATTTTCAAAAGCATTTATTACGATGGATTGTCCGAACATCAACTATAAAATTTACACCTGTCACCAACGCAACATAGTTCAAGAATTAATAACTTTATAGACCGATATAGTATTTCAGTGTATCTGCTAGTACGATTATTACAACTTATCCTATACATAATTGCATCGAGTTAGCTACTCAGTAAGTATGTAGAACATTTATTAAACATATATACTCAATGAAAGTTGACAACCACATCCATCGAATTACCATTACTACTTAGTGTCATACACTCAACTCCCCTAATTAATAATAATAATAATAATAATAATAATAATAATAATAATATCAATAATAGTAATAATAATAGTAATAATGGTAATAATAACAATAATAATAATAGTTAACGATAAACAAACCAATTTCAATATTTTGTCGTGTGATCACTTCACGTTCATTAGTTGATAACTTCTGTTCAAATTCTCTTGTTATTTCTTGAATATAATTTGCTTGTTCAGTTTTTAATAATTCTATTTCCATTTGATACTTTTCGTGAATTTCTGATACGGAATCACTGAAAAAGAAATTTTTCAAAAAGTAAAAAATAATTTTTTTTTCTCTCAACAACACTAAAACGACTTCAACTTACAATAGAGGATATTATTATAAAATATGTTATTAAGTGCCATAATCAATAAAGTGTAGTTCGAAACAACTTAATAAACAAGAGGAAACAACATATTCAATAGAATAGTTAAGACTGATTAATATGTTAAAGGTGAAATAATCAACAATGGAGAAGGAGATTAAGTTGTAAGTGATAATAAAGAGATAATGGGCGAGACTTTAATTTATGGACGAGCCAATCAGAGGCGTTTTAGAGATTTCAAGAGTACGGCGCCAACTTCAGTGCTTAATGCTAACTTACAATCAGTTCACAGGGAATTTTGTACAAAACGTGATAATTGAACGGCTATAACAAATTAAACGGAGAGACTATAATTTGTGGACGAATCAATCAGGTATAAGATAATAGATCTCGGATTTTAACGCGAAAGCCTTTCATCCACTTGGCTAAATAAATTTCTGACATTATAGCTGATGTCAGTTCGTGATGAAAACCACAAATATAATTCCTAACTAAAGCAAATTACGACAATTATTACGAACTGGATAATAAAAGCACCAGTAACACTGGCTGCAACCAGGTACTACAATATATACGGATGTTTGGAGAGCGTACAGACTCCTACATAAGCTTGTTTATGTGCATCGTGTCGTTATCCACAAGTAGCATTTTGCGCACTTAACAACCGGAGTGCACATAAACAATATTGAAGCTATGTGATCGAGGCTGAAAGAGTTTTTGAGACTTTATCATGGCTCCAGAGGTTGACTATTCTGTAGCCGTATGGATGATTTCCTCTACTGTATGCATTATGATTTTAGAACCTCTACACCTCTTTTTAACCTTGACAAGTTTTTGAACCACGTATCAGAATTGTATCTACTTTATTTCTTTGGTTTCGTATAATATATTTTCATTCTATACTGACTGTGTGCTGATTGGCTAATATTTCTCAAGGTCACTTCAGATTCGTTCAAAGGTCGTCCCTAAATTATAAATGAAATAAACTGTTAATAAATGAGTGACAACCAAGGTACCTATTTAATATAAAATTAAACTTTACATATTAAGTGAATTTCAGTAGAATGTTTCAGATTTTAAGTTATAAATCATAGTGAAGAGATAATGTAACTGATGAGTGTTAAAATAATATAACTATCTTATCATGAGAATGATTAGTGTACTACACTTTCTTTCTGTATGCAAAGGTAAGATAGCACTTGATGGTAATGGCAGATGTTGATATCAAATTTACGACGGAATATGTACATGATCATCAATTTAACTATTTAAACCTAAAAATAAAATGATGGGACGATGGAATGAGCGAGAATACCATATTCGGAAAAGAAACATGAACAGGGCAATACTTAAATTATAGTTCCTGTTCTGTTATTTAAAAACGTTGCTTAGACAAAACACGATTTAATAAGGCTAGAAGGTTGTGCTTAACCGACAAAATACAGGAAGAAATAGTATACATTAAAGAGTGCCTTATAAAAAATGAATATCCAAAAAAGTACGGGAGAACGATTATGCAAGGTCCTAAACAATCAACTGTTGGCAGACAACTTGTATTTGTCGGGCTTGCATTCAGAGATGAAAAGATTTCAGGAAGGATCGATAAAAGTATTAAAGCAGTACCAATGATAGGCTCCCTTTAAGCTCTACTATTTTCGGTCTATAACACCAGATGTTCTTTAAATTAATGAAAAGTGGATCAATACCCTTCTGAGATCGCCTTCAACTGTATTTACGAATTCACATGTACTTGTGGAAACAAGTATACAAGAAGAACTGAAAGAAGGGCATCTACAGGGTTTTCGAAACATATCCCCCGTAATTTGTCCTTGGAAGAAAAGTAAAATTTTCGAAAATGCGATTACTAAACATTTAATGGATAGTGGACACAACGTGAATGTTTCAAAAGCATTCAAAATAATTAACAAGCAACCTACATCTTTTTTACTCTATTTTGCAGAGATCATTGCCATCAAGTGCTTTTTATCTTACCTTTGCATACAGAAAGAAAGTGTAGTACACTAATCATTCTCATGATAAGATAGTTATAGTATTTTAACGCTCATCAGTTACATTATCTCTTCACTATGATTTATAACTTAAAATCTGAAACATTCTACTGAAATTCACTTAATATGTAAAGTTTAATTTTATATTAAATAGGTACCTTGGTTGTCACTCATTTATTAACAGTTAATTTCTATTCATTATTTCTTTATTATCACTTATAACTTACTCTTCTTCTCTACTGTTGATTATTTCATCTTTAACATACTAATCAATCATAACTATTATATTGAATGTGTTGTTTCCTCTTGTTTATTAAGTCGTTTCAAACTACACTATATCAGCGATGGAAATCTACAGGCAACTTTTGGTTTGTCATTTTTAGTGACAACCTTTTATAATCTACTATTGTTGTGAGAACACAGTATCTCTGCAGATGCTATTTATCTGAGGAAGCTACTTCAGGGTAGTCGCACACATATGCAGTCAGTAGCACGACCTAGGACCAAAGGACGAGTTTACTGAGCGGCAGTTCACCCCGTTCTACTTTGTGGGTATAAAACATGACTATTAAGAACAGAGGTTATTTGTAGGTTATTGGTATTAGATCACAGATATCTACGAAGCATTGCTCGTGTATTTTGTGACCACGGAGTAAGCAATGTACCAGGTAAATATGGCAAATCGACTGATGAGGTAGTAAATCTTTATCGATTGAGGTGGTTGGGACACGTGTTACATATCCCCAACCACTGTCTACCATGACGGACGATGTTTGCTACTGTAAGAGTAGGTTGGAAGGGAGCTAGTGGTGGCCGAACCAAAACATGGCATCAGTCCATGAAGTCACGGACAATTGGACTGAGCCGTGTTAGTAGATGTGGACTACCTGGTTGAGATCCACATAACTGTTGTAACCGACGGTTAGACTTTAAATGATATGGCTCGAAATCATTTGCAATGATGAAAGCGCATTCATTTTTCGTCTTCCATCAAATCCTGAAATTGTAAATTTCCAATAACTTTCTTGCTTTTATCCCACTAATTTGCATTTTCTTCTCAAATCGTATCTTTGGTGCCTAATCTTTCCTGTTACCGCTCATTATACTACCTCTACTATTCTGAGTTTAGGCCTGACAATTTCATCTCTCTGTGCCAAAAGGGTATGGCAACTTGAAACGATGTACATACGTACCATGTTCTACGTTGTGACTGACTAACGATCTCGGACCATAATAAATAAATACCAACGGTATTAGTTTTACTCACCAATTGTGATCCCACAAATCTTGTTGATTCTTTTTAGAATTATCATTAATTTCCAAATTCCTTGATTCTAATTCCTCAATTTTTATTTGTAATTTTTCAAATGATTTACATTGATCTGCATGCTCCAGTTGTAATTGTTTCAATTTCTCTTCAGTTTCATGTAGTATATTTTGTAATTCAATTTCACGACGTGATGGAGTAGTGGATGATTTTTTACTAGTTTCTAACTCTTGTAAGACTTGTTTTAAACGATTTCTCAGTTCCTATTAATATTTCACCCCGGAAAAAAACAGAAATGTTTAGCGTATTGGTGTGACCAATAAAACGGTATATATATATATATATATATATATATATATATATATATATATATATATATATATATATATATATATATATATATAATTGTCTGTCCAGATCGACGAGTGTACAAAATATACGTATTCAAAAATCCATTCTCATATTTGACTTATATAATTCCGTTACTCACTAATGCGATTCAAGTCGATGGTTATATACGAGGATTGGCGACATATATATTTCGACAGCAATCATTCATACGATATAACTGGAGGCCACTAAAGAAGTACCCGTTTTCTAGATATCAACGCAGATTCAATCAATCTTCATACCTACTCTTCTCACTACTGTAGTCAAGTGAACCCAAAAGAAGCACAGTATCAAAAATGTAAGGTGTTGAAGATATGGAGACCGATTCACAATTGATTGATCACTGGGTGGTGATCAATGTCGTGTGTGTCAGATCCTTCTTAGTGAAAAATGAATGCTATCAACCTAGTTGCAATATGGCTATATGGAAACCTAGAAAAGAAACTACATTTATGAAGAAATCGATTGAAGAATTCACAAATTGATTTAAAGTGAACTTTGTTCATTGTATTGTAACATATATCGATCTATCCAGTATGAATTTTGTTATTTTATTTTCAAATGTATCTCCATTGTATTAATTAATGTAATGCTATATGTATTCACTAACGAATATCTCATTTATAAATTATAGCTGATTAACTTCAATTGTGTACTTTCAAATATATTATTATGATTCCTTTAAGGTTATATTTTGATGTAAACACCAGTCGAGTAAATTGTCTAAGAATGCTAGATCGTAGAAAAGTCAATCAGTCAGCTACAACGTAGGACCAGGCACATATATGCATCGGTCCAAGTAGCCATACCTCATTAACACAACAAGATGGACACCGGATGCATAAAAGTAGGTAATTCAGAGGTGATAATATATAAAAGAAAGATTGCAATAAGGATATAGTACAGGAAGAAAGAATTAGTTCGTAGAAAGAAAGATATGAAGCGATTTTATTCTCTTAGTTTAAGGGAAGACAAAGAGTGTATACACCGACGCCAGTGTGATCGATTATGAGCCATGTCACCAAGCGTCTCCAACCATTGGTTACGATAGTCACGCGGACCCCAACCAAGTAGTCTGCATCTCCTAACATGGCTCACACTAGAAGTTAGTGACTTCAAGCACTGATGCCATGTTTTGGTTTGGCCGCCCCTAACTTTCTTCCAACCATCTCCAATACCCGTTAGCATTGCACGTCGTGGTAATCGATGTTCAGGCATACGTAACACGTGGCCCAATCATCTCAGTAGATGAAGATTCACAACCTCATCAACTCATTTACCATCGTTACCTAATACCCTGCGTTTAACCTCACTATTAGAAAAAGACATCATAATACTGTTTATTTGAACTTTTAGAAAAAAGAAAACTTACTAAATTCTGTTGCTTCATTTGTTTTTCTTTAATGAAAATAGCATTATCAACAGCACTTTTTAAAGCAGTTTGATGTTCAATATTTAATTGTTCAATATATTGAGATTTTTCCATTTCATATTTCTTGTTTAAATCGTTCAATTCATCTGTATGTTTAATTTTATAGTTTTCGAATATATTTGCATGTTCTAATTGTATTCTCTGTAATTCATTTTGTAATTGATCGCACTTAGTATTTAGTGAAGACACAACTTTTTCAGATTCTTCGAATGTATTATTAAGCTGAATTTAGTAGATCAAATAAAATAATGAATAAACTGAGAATGTTAAGTATTATCAGAATGGGTTTTGTGGAGATTTTTAGAAATCTCACTGGTTAAAATCATGAGTCAATTGAAGCTAGGCCACCGTGGAAAACCTGGAAGCACTGGACGGCCGTTTCCTCTTAGTATGGGACTCCTCAGCAGTGCGCATTAACAGTGTGACATTAACACCGTTGGATGCCGGCTCAGTGGTCTGGTTGGTTAAGCGCCTGGCATGAAACTGATAAGTCCTGGGTTCGAATCTCGCGGGGAGCGGGGTCGTGGATGCGCACTGCTGAGGAGTTCCGTGCTAGGATGAAACGGCCGCCCATCGCTTCCAAGTTTTCCATGGTGATCTAGCTTCAATTGACTCATGATTTCAACCAGTGAAATGTTAAGTATATTTTAAACTGAAAGGTAGTGTTGAAATGGAAGAAATCATATGAAAATCAAGTCATCAATTAATTGCTATACAGATCGAATAACAAGACTGAGTGGTTAACCAGGTTAGAAATTAAACCGAGATTCGTGTAGTTGGCATTAGCCCCCTGAATGCCCTGGTACGGCCGAGAGTGGGGAGAGTCCGCTCTCCCTCTCGAAATACTCTCACACGGCCACGCGTATATAGCCTCTGCCAGGGAAGTCCTACTCATTGCCTTCTCGTGGCGGGGGTGTTGTTTACGAAAATGAGAGGACGAGAAGCGAATGTCCGGCGCTTTAACCGGATTCCAAACCAATGGTGCACATGGGCTCCAGTATCCTGCGGGAACGAATGGCGTATGAACCAATCGTTGGTCACCGGCTACCATGGGACTGCATCTCCTTACGATGCTCCACTGCCTTGTGGGTTAGACCTTTAGGTCAAAGGCTCGGGGAGTGGCCTCCTAAGATAACCACCTGCTTCGGTTTGGGCACCCGGGCAGTATCACAGCCCACACACAAATGATGAACTGTTTATGTCTATGGAAACTACTTTTGTCGCTTTGAAAAACAATCAATTGATTCAAATTATGATCACTTCAATTATTGTCATTATTAATACTAATATTATTATTACTACTATTATTGTCATTATTGTTATTATTATCATTATTATTATTATTTTCCACATTATTCACCTTCTTTTATACTTATACAGCGGCTCGTCTTTGGTGGAATTCCGACTGTATCTAAACGTTCTCGAGTCACTGTCCGGTTGAAAATTGTATGTTACCACCGAATACGAGGACTGAAGCAGATTTTCTGAAACCACGTGCATCATTCAAACTGGCTGCCTTCAACGTTCGCACATTTATGCAGGTCGGACAACAGATAGGGCTGGCTATGTCTTTGGAAAGTCTTAATATCGACGTGTGTTGTCTATCCGAGACCCGTATTCAAGACTCTGGCGAAGTACTACAAATTCGATCTCCATCTGTCGCTTCGAAAAGCTTGTTTTACGTGCGCTTATCCGGGGACCCTGTGGCATCTTCGTCTGGTTTTGCTGGCGTTGGTGTCGCACTAAGCGCTAGAGCTGAGGCAGCACTAGTCGATTGGATCCCCATTAACAGTCGGTTATGTGCTGTTAGATTAGAAAGTTCCATCAAAGTGAGAAGAAATCGGCGTGAGAAACGATGTCTTTTCGTCATCTCCGCCTATGCCCCGACAGATTGCAGCCCGGATGCAATCAAGGATGAGTTTTACCACCAGTTATCAGTTCTTCTCCAGAAAGTGCGTTCGACAGATATTGTAGTACTAGCCGGAGACTTGAATGCTCAGGTCGGGCGTCTAGGCACAGAAGAGAGTCGTTTAGGTGGCCGGTGGGGACTCGTTGGTCGCAGGTCAGATAACGGGGACCGTCTACTGCAACTGTGCACAGACCACAACCTGTTTCTGGCTAGCACTAACTTTCGGCACAGTCATCGCCGATGTGCCACCTGGCGTCCTCCCTCTGCATCTCAAGCCTGGACTCAGATTGATCACATCGCGATCAGCTACCGCTGGCGTGGTTGTGTGCAAGACTGCCGCTCCTTTTGGAGTACCTATCTGGACTCTGACCATGCCTTGGTCTGCGCCAATCTTGCCTTACTTTTCAGTGGACAACGAAGTGAACGCCATCAACGGATTGATGTTAGCAAGCTGGTTGCAACTTCTGTTGCAAGTAAGTATCGAACCGAGCTAGCCTCTAGGCTAGCTACCACTCCACCGAAAAGTATAGATGAGCATTGGTTGCAATTGCATGACGCCATGAAAGTGGCGGGAACAGTCAGTTGTGGGTTTGCGAAACGTCCCGCTTTTAAGCACTGGGTTTCTTCTGGTTCCTTACAACTCATTGAAGCCCGTCGGTCTACTCCGGGTAACCGTGAGTTTGACCATAAACGAAGGTTTTTACGTAAGGAAATCGGGCAAAGCTTGCGTAAGGACCGAGAAGCCTGGTGGTCGATGCGTGCTAATGAGCTGGAAGCAGCAGCTGCATCTGGTAACTACCGGAAGCTCTTCCAACTCATCCGAGCCACTGGCAGCAAGAAGTCTGGTGTGAGTGAAACAATCTGCGAGGATGATGGGATGCCAATCACAAACATCCATCGACGTCTTGGACGATGGGCAGAATTTTTCGAAGGGCAGTTCAACTGGCCTGCTGCTCCGGTAACATCGGTCAGACTGTCCTGCCCTCCATGGCCGGTGACGACTGATCCACCAAATGAGGAGGAAGTCCACAAGGAACTCCAACTCTTGAAGCGTTACAAATCACCTGGCCCAGATGACTTCCCTCCGGCTCTTTTTAAAGATGGTGGTGACTTTTTGACTAAGGAATTGACGACGTTGTTTACAAAGGTTTGGGATCTAGAGAGTGTACCAACGTCATGGAATGAGTCGATAGTTGTCCCTATCTTTAAAAAGGGTTCACGTCGTTCTTGTAACAACTATCGGGGGATAAGTTTACTTCCGATTGCGTCCAAGCTATTGGCTTCCGTCATTCTTCGTAGGTTGTTCAAAACCCGAGAAAGATTGACTCGCGAGGAGCAGGCTGGGTTTCGTTCTGGTCGAGGATGTATTGATCATATCTTCACCCTCCGCCAAATGTTAGAACACCGCCATACTTTTCAAAGGCCAACAATCGTAGTGTTTCTTGACATCAGGGCTGCCTTCGATTCGTTGGATAGGACTGTTCTCTGGGATTGTCTATTGAAGAAGGGTGTGCCTGAGAAGTTTATTAACATCCTAAAAGCCCTGTATAAAAACACCTCAGGCAGAGTGAGGGCATACAACCACCTCTCTCCATTGTTCCATTCGAGCAGTGGGGTTAGGCAGGGTTGCCCAATCTCACCATTCCTCTTCAACTTTGCCATCGATGACATTCTGGAAACAGCTCTGATGAATGTAAGTAATGGTGGTGTGGATCTGTTGCCTGGAGAAAGACTTCTCGACCTTGAGTATGCGGACGATATTGTCTTACTGTGCGATAATGCCCAAGGCATGCAATCCGCACTTAATCAGTTGGCAGTCAATGTCCGTAGGTATGGTATGTGCTTTGCACCTTCGAAGTGCAAAGTACTTCTACAAGACTGGCAGGATCCCAATCCTGTACTCACCCTGGATGGTGAGCAGATAGACATAGTTGAGAAGTTCGTGTATCTGGGTAGCTGCATAAGTGCTGGTGGGGGTGTGAATGATGAGATCAATGCACGAATAGTGAAAGCCAGAGCGGCTTATGCCACTCTGGGCCACCTTTGGCGCCTTCGTGATGTCAGTCTGGCTGTAAAAGGCCGGATCTACAACGCGTCGGTGAGAGCAGTTTTGCTCTATGCTTGTGAAACCTGGCCTCTCCGAGTTGAGGACGTTAGACGACTCTCTGTGTTTGATCATCGCTGTCTCCGAAGGATTGCTGACATTCAGTGGCAACACCATGTTAGTAATGCAGAGGTTCGGCATCGTGTGTTCGGGCACAGAGATGATAACTCAATTGGTGTCACCATCTTGAAACACCGACTTTGGTGGCTTGGACATGTTCTTCGAATGTCGTCCCAGAGAATTCCACGTCGTGCATTATTTGCCGACTCTGGGACTGGTTGGAAGAAGCGGAGAGGTGGTCAGTGCATGACATGGTGTCGTGGCATGAAAGAAAGCTGCAAAGGACTGGCTTGTGTTGGTCCTTCACGACTCCCTGGCTGGGGTCCGAGAGATGGTGCAACACAGTGGCTAGAGACGTTATCAGATATGGCTCAGAATAGAAGCCAGTGGCGATCCTGCTGTAACCTTCTTTTACTTTCTTCATAAAAAGTGGTTGTGTCTCCTTTACCTGAAAGATTTCTTCTGATTGTACCTCTTCGTCATTACTCTCTTTTTCTTTTGCGTTCCTTAGTTTTTTTTTTCTTTCTACTTCTCTTCGAATTCCCATTGTTTTGTGTGGCGCATATATATTGGCGCTCTCTTGTACCAATATTTATGTGTTCAAATAAAAATAATAAATAAATAAATAAGTTGGCATTAAGCTAAATGATGTGAATATGTATGAGCTAGACAATAATATCAATCATATGGTTCAGTGTCGATTGCAATGATGCATATGTATCCGCCTTTTGTCAGAAAATTTTTACATTTTGTTTATTCTGCAAATTTATTCATTGTTCCCAAATCAAATTGCGTCTTACATTTTCTACTACCACCAATATTTTTATCACCTCTAAAAATCTGGCAATTATCTTGTTAATTTTCTTTAGCTACCTTGGTATAATGTGGCAACTTGAGGCGGTACACGTACATTGTTTGTAACTGACCGGTTGATTGAATGACTAAGTTAGACTATGTAGTTATCTAAACTGAAGTAAGAAGGTGATATGATGACCAAGAATCAGACCTACCAGCCAAGTTATAAGTTATTGGAAAGTGGATGATAAACAAAGCTGATTTTCCTTTACTCAAATATATGATTCAATAATGTTTATTTTACAGATACTATTATAGTGAAGGAGAACACAGGTGAGGACAACCGAATTATATTTAGCACAAATTACATAGTTACTTGTTAAAATAGAAAAACCATATTATAATACTTAATTTGCTAAATGTTCAATAATTGTCTCGAACTTCATTGTTATTGCATTTCCATACTAATTGCTTTCTATTCCCGCTCTTCCTTTCTCGATCTTCCCAACCTCTGCCGCCAGACATTACATTCCTGACTCGCGTCATATACTACTTATATCAATATAAGTAGCACGCACCACATTATTACCAAGGTTCAACTTGATTTCAAATAAATTGATCGTTGGGTAAATTGAATAAATAACTTATATTGGGTCATGGAACACCAGAAAATTTGATTTTCTACTCATTGGGATATTACAAATACATCATTATGTTGATTTTTGTACTAATGATTTACACATGACTGTGTCATTTTACTAGATGAAAAAACTGTTCTTCTGGCTAATGGTCTTGTCTTTTAATATCATTTCATTCAGAAATCTGAACTGAAAATGTGGTCTCATGAGTTCTCACCATTAGGCTACATTGTATAGCTGTATTGATTCATTGTAATAATCGAAATCACATTCATAAAATCATAATTCACAACAGTGGGATCTAAGAGTTGAAAATTAAGTCATTTAATTAATAAACAATTGCTCCATAGAACAGCCACAGCCTGTTTAAAACAACACCAAAGTATTCTTATTTTTAAGGTCATTTCGTAAATAAACTGTCTCGGTTCATGGTGTCGATTATTGATGAAACATTCATAGTGAGCTGTAGAGTATCAGGTATCAACAAACTACTAGCATTTTTTTATTTTGAACTATAAATCTGATATAATACCACAAAAATTAGTCTTTGGATTCAGTAAGTCTATAATTAGTAATATGGAGTGTGAACAACGGATATCAATCAGTCTGAATTGCTAAAATTTACATCGGCATAGCTTAAAAAGAAAACTTTTTACCAGTTGAATCCACGAGCCGATATAAGCTAGACTACCACTGAAAATCTGCAGGCAGTGGATGGCCGTTTCGTCCCAGTATGGGACTTCTCAGTGGTGTGCACCTATGATCCCGCACTTAAGACTCGAACCTAGGACCCTAGGTCTCGAGCGTGAACGATTGACCTCTAGACCATTGAGCCGCCATGCAGCGGTGTTAATGTCTAACTTCAATCGATCCGTGGAACATCCGTCCAATGCTTCCGGGTTTTCAATAGTGGTCTAACTTAGATCGACTCATGAATTCAACTATTAAAATTACTACAATCTCCACAAATCCCCATACTAATAAAAAGAAATCGATAAAGTGAAAAACAACAGGATTCAAATAATAATAACGATAATAATATCAACATTAATGGGATCAAATGAAATCGAGGGATGAAAATCATGAAACATTTTCTTTGAACCCAAAATTTAGGATGAGTAAATCCGCATTACAGAAAACACAAAACGATTAGTACGTGTATATTGATAAAGGAGTTTCTACCTTCATATACATAATTTAGACCAACAGTTAGCAATCCCATAGATCGATACTATGTTTTGTTTTAATAATTCCTAACCCCTTCCCAACCTACTCTCTTATGCTAGTCACTGTTGGATGTCGGGGTATGAAGCAATCCGTGAGCAGTATGTGACACACTCCATTTACCTTGATCACTAAAATTTCCATTTAGTTTCAACAAAAATCATGCAGACAAAAATTCTAATATTAGTTGGACAGTCGTTGACAACTACGAAGGACTAGAGAGAGGTTTCTTTCTGTTAAGCGACTGCTCCTCAGCACTCCACATCCACGACCCCAACGAGGATCGAACTCAGAGCTATCAGACTTCTCGAAGAGTGCTTAGCTCCTCTAAACAACTGAACCAACAACCAATGGTTTATGAAACAGGTGTCCAATGCTTTCTAGTTTTTAAAGGTTGTCCAATCAAGATCAGTTGATGATGTAAACCATGAAATTCAACAACCTCCACGAAACCACTTATAATAATTTTAAAAAACAAAAAACTAACCACAGTTTCTTTTTCTGTTAACTCATTAGAAAGACGATTAGATTTTTCTGTAATCAACTCTAATTGTTTATTTAAATCACAGATTGTTTGTTGATTCTCTTCAAATAATTTCAATTGATTAGTATAATTCTCTTTTAAAATTAATTCATTTTGTTTAAATTCATCAATCATTTGATTTGCTTTCATTAAAGATACTTCCATTGAATTGAATTTGTCATCTGTTAACTTTTGATCATCTATTAATGTTTGATTATTTAATTGTAATTGAATTAATTGATTATTTAATTCATTACATTGATTCTTTAATGAATCCAATTGAATATGAAGTTCATCTATATTGGATTGATGATTATGTACAATAGAATTTTTAAAGTTATTTATAAATTCTTTGTGTAATATTTGTGAACGTGTATCCAATATGTCTAATTTATGAAAATTCTTGAAAAGATTATCTGTCAACGTTGTATAAGATTCTGAATTTAACCAATTACAAAATAATTCTAAGTAGTTTATATTGCATTCACTATTGAAATTGGCAAACATCAAATGTTCAATTGTATTAAACGATTCATTTAAAGTTCTGGCATCTAATTCAATTTGGTTATATTCATTGTACAGGTCTTGTTCATTATTATTATTACTATTATTATTTTCGATGTCGGTGTTGTTCAGGTTTTGTTTAGACTCATTCATTTCAGTTACTATCCAAGTAATTTTAGACTGACATAGTTTGATTAAATTTTGACATAATTGATGATGATCATTACATATGAAATTATGAATTGTTTGATTGAATGAATTGTATTTATCCAATGTTAAATGTAAGTTATTTATCTGTTGTACGAAAAAAAATGTAACAGTTGAAAAAAATACGTAAATGAAGTTTGTTTGTCAAAATGAAAGAACTGCTTTTGTAAACGAGGTGTAGATGGAGTCGTTCATAGAGAAACATTTCCCGATGAGTGATAAAACACTTCTCAGTATGACTTAATAGATTACAATGAAGAAATAAGAAAGTGTCTAGTATGTAGGATGTAGTAGGTTAACTTCACCGCACGTAGTGTCAGATTTGTAATCATACTGTACTTACCGAAAAGTGAACGCATACATTCTACTTTTCTATTGCAAAAGTGTTGGTGAAAAGCAATATAAAGTCAGGTCCATGTTTACATTCACACCCCAAATAACTCAGTATAAGCTTTTCAAACTGTGAAAATAGTTAAAAAGTTCCAATACCGTAAAGAGAACCAATTCCCTCAGGATTACGAGTACAGATTGCTGAAAAATGTCAATAAGCACAACATCAAAGTTAAGCAGAGTCTCCTACCGACTACCTTCAACCACCTAACGTGCAGAAACAGTTTGTTAAATTGCTTTTCGCGTCACGATTACTAAAATCCTTTATATTTTTGTATTTTTTCTCAAATCCTGTTTTGTTTATTATCCTCGCTTTTCATCGTTCAGTTACGTATAATATGGTAATTTAGACTTACTTTCTATCAAACTCCACGTTGGAAATGACTGACTGATCATTATAGTTATGAAGATGTTTGAATTTTTAAACTACGTTTTTCTTATAATTGACAATTTTGTCATTTTCCTTCTTTCTAACTTTTGAATGTTTGTTTGTTAGCCGAAACGTCTCCACCTTCAATGAGAGACATCTTTTATTTCTGCAGTAACATAATTATACATAATAATTGCTAGTTTAAATCAATCTCTTTCTTCAGTCTTTAATAAATCTTCTGAGAAAGATTTATCTTTTGAGGGTAGGATTATTGCCAGAAAATTACATAAACAATACACTACTAGAGATGAACACTTTTTGTAGAAAGAAACTAACCTCATCTTGTTTCTTTTCTAATTCCATGTTTAAGTTGTTTACAACATCATTGCGCGTAATTAAATCACCTTTTATAATTTTCAGCTCGTTTTGTAACTGTTCGATGGAAGTTGTGTAGGTTTGAAAACGTTTACCTGTTACCATAAGTATTGAGTCAACATTGGTATTGATCAATGCGAGCCGCTGATCAGCAGTTTCAAGTATGTTCCAGATAGGATTTAATTTACTACTAAATTGTTCAGACTGCTTAAGAAGTAATTCACAAGCTTCATTCGACAATCTTATTAATTCGTATACATGTTGTTGATATTCAGATAAGGTATCAGTATGTTCTTCTTCCATTGTCTTTGCAAGACGTGTATTCTGTTCAATTGATGAGTACAATTGACATTGCAAATTTTCAATACGTTTATGAGCTTCTGTAAGTTCCGCTTGGATATTTTGTAGTTCTGTATTATGATAAACTGATTCTGATGCACATTTATTAATGAATTGAGATTGCATACTTTCGAACTGATTTTTAGTGGTATTCAATGTTTGTTGAAGAGATTTATTCTAATTTTCACGAAAAAAATATATGGTACAGTTGGGTTAACACATAACCAGACTGATGAGATTAAGAAAAACTAATGATAGTTACACTTCAGAATACATCACTACTACGACATTTCGCATAGATACAGAGAAAGTAAATAACTAAAGAGGAAGCATTGCATCATCAAAAAGAACAAGTTCGTAAATTGTATTGAGATCTATGTGATCAGCCCGTTATTTTGGGAGAGATTATATTGTTTAGTCTTATTAGTGATTAAATTAGCTCTATGCCTGTTCCACCAATGAGCCATTTTACCAATTATCCAGAGACTAATGAACCACGACCGAAACATTAACCCCTATAGGTCCTCGAGCTAATTTCAAAGCTGGTATTCAATCAAAAGACGAAGTTAGCGAGTAGATACCTACTCCACTATACAGTAGCTTAATGACTTAAACTCACAATAATCTAGAGTAATTTCTTAACAATACATCAATACATATAGGAAATTACGAAACGGGTGTAATTATGCAATAAATGAAAGAGAAACCAAGAAATGAGTCCATAATTAATTAGCAATAACCTAAGGAAGGTAAAACATACAACGATAGTTCATGCGCCCAACGAAAGCATACAACTGGCAGAATATAAGAATACAATAATCAAAGTACCTAATAATTATACAATAAAATATTTCTTCGGAAGACAGTCCCGAAAGTTACTGCTTCTACGGTATTTGCCTCATTATAAAAGAAACAAAATAATGAAAGTAATTGCATCAACTAATATTGAGGAATTAAACGAGAAAAAAAGATATTGATTTGGAGAAAAAAACTATTCAGGATTTTTACGAGAAGATAAAGAATTTGGTACACTTAAACAACTGGTATCACTTTTTAGTTATACATCACCTAGTCTTTTCAGTCCACTTGACGAAAGTTCAAACAACTATCCGTTTTTATTTACCACTAATTCAAGGTGATCTCAAGTACTGAAATAGATTTGAGGGCAGTTATCACTCTTCAGTTTCCTACACCATAGAAGGATACTTCTTCTTGAGCGGGCTCAAAATGAAACTAGGTTAGTGATGAGCTTGAAGATCTGGTTTATGCTGACCAGAGATTATAACCAATGCCAATGACTATCTTGAAAACAAAAAATTCATTCAATAGACTTTAAAGTACAAAATTATATTGCTTAGAATGAAGTGAGTTTACCATCTGGGCTACCTGTTCCTGCCATCTAGATATTTCAACAAGTTATCTATTTTTGTTTTAATATATCATTATGTCTGTTAATCAAATAACCTATTCTGGTGTGTTTCTGAAAAGTATACAACCTTTCGTTATCGAAGTTACAAAAAGCCCAATAAGAGATAATGTGGTCGCTGGCAATATGCAACGAAAAGAATATACATTATTCAGATGTTCATTTACTTGACTGCTAACATCTAACTGGCGATCACTCAATATTTATCGCCAGGATCGACCAAGAAGTAAGAAACGGAAACTTGTTGAAATGCATTGTGCTGAGAATTCTATATTGTGCCAAAGATATAATATTGAATAAAGCTAATAATAATAATAATCGACTCGTAGTAAAATCCATACAACCATATTTTTAATAAGCATAATTACTGGAACAACTGGGCACTGAACTAAATATGCGTCAAATAAATAAAGAATTAAGACTGTGAAGTGATAGGACCAGAAAAATGAATATAATCAACCACAGTTCTATATCTAATGAATAAATTATAATTAACATTATGTTTATTATATTTTGTGGATAGATAAGTCACATTCATAGTCATGCAGTTCGTTCTGTTTTACTTTACGGCTGTGAAACATGGCCATTAAGAGTAGAAGATGCTCGTAAGCTACTAGTATTTGATCACAGATGTCTTAGAAATATTATTCACATCTGCTAGGATCACCGGGTAAGTAATAGTGAGGTTAGACGTAGGGTATTAGGGAATAATGGTAAATCAATTGATGAGGTTGTGAATCTTCATTGAATGAGATGGTTGGGTCACGTGTTATGCATGCCTGAACACCGATTATTACAACGCGCCATGCTGACTAGTGGTGGAGACGTTTGGGAGGAAGCTATTGGCAGCCAAATCACAACTTGGTATCAGTGCTTGAAGTCACTAACTTCTAGTCTGAGCCATGTTGGTAGATGTAGACTACTTGGTTGGGGTCCGCGTGACTATCGTAACTAATGGATAGAGACTCTGGGTGACATGGCTCATAATCGATCACACTGGCGTCGGTGTGTACACTCCTTTTCTTCCCTTAAACTATGAGATCAAAATCACTTCATATCTTTCTTCCTGTACTACGTCCTTATATGCAATCTTTCTTTTATATATTACCACCATTAAATTAACTAGTTCGATGAACTTGGTGTTCATTTTGTTATGCTAATGAGGTATGGCAACTTGAACCGATCCATATATGTGCCTCGTACCATGTTGTAACTCACTGATTGACTGACTGACTCACTCACTGATTCATAGTCAAATGAACATTTTCAAAATAAAGTTTTGTATTGAATCCCAATCTCAATATTAGAATGAAACAGTCATCTAGTACTTTCAAGTTTTTAATAGTAGTCTCTAACTTAGAATAATTCAAGTAAACAACTATTAAAATCTTATATTTATTAAATAAATTTTCTTACTTCATTCAATAAATTCATATTTTCTTTAAATAAAACATCCATTTCTAAATAATGCGGATTATTTAAAGATAATTGATTGTGTTCCATTTCATATTTGAATAAATTTATTTCTGATTTATATTTTTTATTTAATTTAAATTGATAATTATTTAATTTATTATTAATAATTAATAACTCGTTTAATGATTTATCAATGAATTTATTTTCATTAATTTGTAATTGTTTTTCATTATTTATTAATTGTTCATTTAAATTATTATAATCATCTAATAATTGTAAATATTTTCCATTAGATACATTTAAATCTTGTTTTAATTCAATTATCATTTGATTTAAATCAATATATTGATTTTCATTATTATTATTATTATTATTATTAGTTAATGATTCAATGATTTGTTTATTTTTTTCATTGAATTGTTTATTATCAGATAATTGATTTTCTAATTCTTCTTCTTTTAATAAATTTGTTGATTTTAATTGATTTTGCATTGTATTCAATTGTAATTCAATTTCTTTATATTTTAATTGTAAATTTGAATAATCTTCTATATGAATTTGATCATTTGTAGAATTATCTTGTAAATTATTGATTTTTTCATTAAGTTCATCGATTAATAATAATTGTTTTTGTTCATTTGATTGAGATATCATTAATTGTGATTGTAAACAATCGATAATCGATTGTTTATCATTACATTTAGATTGTAATTCATTGAATTGACTTAATAAATTATTGATTTCATTATGATGGATTCGTTTTAATTCGTCAATAGTTTTAAATGTATGATGTAATAATAATTCTATGAATAATTTGAAATTTTCTAAATCATTAAAATTGATTGAATCATTTTCATCAATAGGATATAATTCAATTAATTTTTCATTATTTAAATTAAATATATTTAATTTTAATTGTTTAATTTGATTTAATAAACTATCATAATAAATTTTAAAATGATTATTTTCTTCTTTTATAGTTTTACATAAATTTAATTCAGATTTCATAAGATCAATTTGTTTTAATTGTTCTATTTGAATTGATTCAAGGTGTTCAATTTTAAATTGATATTCATTTAATTGAATAGTTAATTCAGAATTTAATGATTTTAAATTGATTAATTCTGAATTGATTGATTGATTGTTTAATTGATTATCAGATATTATTGTTGTATTGATTTCTGATTTAACAGAAGCTAATGTTGATTTTAATTCATTAACTTCTTTGTCTAAACGTGTTCTGATATCTTCAGAATCAGCTAATTTTTTATTTAATTCTTCTAGTTGACAAGATAATGATTTGATTTCATTAGATTGTTCATTATTTTTGTTGATTATTTCATTGGAATGATGAATATAATTTGACTCTGTACTAACTGATAGTTTATTAGAAAATTCATTTTGTATGCCAGTTTCTTCGGTATTTGAATTATTGTAAAATTGTGCTTTTAAACATTGAACTTGTTCTTGTAATGCTGCTTGAGATAGTTTACTATCAGCTAATTCAGATCGTAATTTATTGATATTCTGTTGATCACACTGCAAAGAAAAAAAACATTGAAAGAATACAGATTTCTAAGAAAAAAGTAGTGTATACGGTGTCATATGAATTAAACATGTGTCCATATTGTAAGTAACTCCGCCTGGAGTCCCTCCGGGGGCTACTGCCGGTCCCAAGCCCGGATAAAGGAGGAGGGTTGGGCATGGGGTTAGAGACCCCATCCCGTAGAAAACTAACTCGCTAAAAAACGCTAACCATATTGTAAGTTGATCGATAGGATCCAATCAGAGCTAAGGACTAGACAAACATTGATGTTTGTAAATACTATTATTACTATTCAATAACAAATATTGGGATACAATTTACGATAAATAAAAATATCAAATACACTAACATACCTGCAATCGTAATGACTTTATGATTTCTTCTTTTTCAGATAAAAGCTGACGGAAATCTCTTTCCAATTCATCTTTGGTTTGTTTATCTAGTTCAAGCTTCTTGTACATCTCATCTACAGATTTGGATGTTTTTGTTTGATGTGATGCTAATAACTGTTGTAGATTATTTCTTTCTGATTCCATAACTTTATATGCCTCTACAAGCTGAATCGCGTATAAAAAATGTGAATCAAAACAATGAATAAATAAATAAATATATCTCAAGATTCTAAACCAAAAAGTACACATACATTGTTTGGTTGTTGGGTGATTGGAGGAGGAAGTCGACAGAAAACCCTGGATTTAGATTTCGTGCTAGCTAATACTAGTCAGCAATAAACCTACAGCGTCCACGATATCCTGTCAAGCAACTTCACCCCCTAATATCTCAACATAGTGAACGCAGTGTTCAGTCACTCAAACTAGTAACCACATGTGACCTGGCTGACAGGATTTAATCAACATTAAAGGACTAGACAGACATAACATTGAGAACTATGCAGTGGTCAATCAATAGTTCATTTATTAGACATTACAACATGCATGATGGAAACCGAACCATCACCTAATTCGATACGCTAAGCTCGTCAATGTAGGAGTAAGTTGAAGAAACGATTACAGAGAATAGTGAGACAGCATTAATTATTGGATTTACTAATTGCTGATCTCAGTAACATTGATGGGTTTAGACTTTATTTGAGGTCTGCACGATAATTCTGGACTATATTTAAGGAAATTGGGTTACTTTACTACAAAAAAACACATTCTTATGGTTAGTGGTCTTAACTTTGAAGTCTGTTCGTCCGCCGAGTTTGAGTCAATAATTTTGCTACGTAAGGAGCCATCACATCACATCATTACATTCACCTATCGATTGACATTATGTGCATTTATTTTGAGAATTGGAAACTTTATTCATTAAATCCTCACCCATAACAAAAGGTTATAAGTCCTGAAAACGTTACATAAAGAAAGCGTAATTTCGGGGACACCTAAGACAAAGTTAAGTAAAAAAAATGAGGAAACTGGGTGGTTCTGATAAATACTATCGAAGGTTAACAACTCTTATGACTGTGCTCCATAAGCTCTGACTGAAACAATAATTTGAGTAAATAGCTTACACAAGGTCCATATTATTTCTTCATTACACCTTTTAATGACAAATATTTCAATAATACTATTCAGTAGACAGAGTCGAATATGGCCTTAGGGTTAGGGAGTACAACTGTAGTTGATTATCGGTAGATATCCGTGTTCCAAAACCCTAAGGACGAAGGTTTGATCGATGCATAAATACTCAAGTCTAAAACCAGCATGACTAGATTGATGTTCAGTTGTCATATTAAACAGTCTCCTCTTACATTTAAAGTTGGTGGGACGATCACTATTAACTGTTCGCTGAGCTCGGATGCCAAAAGACCTGAACAAGAGTCTTTTAGCCTGGTAAAACTAACTTACTTGGGCGTCCGAATCACCTGCTATGATTAGTACATCTGAAAGTCTAAGGTTCTGAAGCAGGTGAGAAAGTCTTTCATAAAACTCATCCATAATTTCATCCGGAGTGCGCAGAAAATGCTATGAAAATGAAACAGGCTGTCCTCAATTCCTGTTGGCCTCGCCGTAGAAGGAAACTTTTTGAGTGGTCTGGAGAGACGTGACTACAGCACTCGAAGAACGATCACTTGGGGCCAGTCATACAACTTTTTCGTGGGTAATTTGTGATACATTAATATTTTACTTTAAAGTCCTTACCATCGGCGACGGAAAGCTGTAGGATGAAATGCGACATTTTAAATCAGGGCACTTTTTAATCCCCTCTTTTTTAGGAAGGAAGCATCGCAGTAGATGCCAGTTGTCTAAAGAAAACGCTTTACTCCCGTCATACTCCAGCATAATCGGTAGTACAACTTTCAACCTGGACCTTAAGTTGATGCTTTTAGTTTTCCCGTTCTGCAAACGACCTGCCTATCATGATAGGAATGCAAAGAACAAGTGTTTCACCCAATATAGCTTTATTAGTTCATTCCAATGAGTAATCCTTACCACCTATCTTGAGATAGCAGCTGGACCTGGGACCCAACTTAGCTACAATCTGAACACATAACAGGGTTTGAAATTGCAGTTTAACGGCTAAAAAAATCGATTACTTAAGCCATTACTTCACAACAATATTAAAATAAAATAACTAAACCCCTTTGAAAATCAACTAACCTGTTGATATTTAATTTTGTAATTACGTGCCATTTCATAAACACGTTGACAACGTGATTGAATATCAGATGTTTCTGTAGATAACCAAAAAGTTGACGACATAACAGAACCACAATCAGAATCATCCAGTTCACCGAATGGATTAGTACACTTTAACAATTTAACATTATCTGTTTCTTTTGATGTTGGTGACTTGTTTTGAAAGACATTACTATCACTGTTACTATCAGTGATGTCATTAATGCGCCCATGATTACTTTTAACTGATGATGAAGTTGGTTTTAATTGTACGGATGATGTTCGTCTTTCAAAAGCAATATCAGCATCAGTTCTCTCTGACTCGCCCTATTGTTCATTAATTTAGAATAAAGAGAATAAAAGATGAAATAATTAATAAAAATTCGTTGTTGTTATCATTCTTAAAATTGCCAAGTTTTCTATGCAATTTGTTGTTATTGTGGTTAGAAAAGCGTTTATTTATATCCTTAACTCTTATTAGTTATTTAAATTTTAATTGTCCCTTTCGATTAATTACTTTATTATCTGTTATTCAATATCATGTAAATAGTAACTAATTAGTTACTAATTAATCTTTATTATTGCCGTTTTTCGAGGCAGAATACAACTAAAAACGCTAACCCTTTTTCCAATTCTGTGTTTTGTGTTTAATAATATTTGTAGCTACATCTCAGTTTTCCACTAATCGCATTAGATCTGTACCCATGTTAACAACAATCATCAACCCGCAACATATCTCTAATACATACACTTGTTTAAAAGATCTAATAAGCATTAATGTCAGTCAATCAGTTTCAACGTAGGACCAGGCACATATGTGCATCGGTCCAAGTTGCCACACCTCATTAGCACAGCAAGACGAACACCAGATTCATAGAAGTAGTTAACTCAATGATGTAATATATAAAGGAAAGATTTTATGTAAGGAAATAATACAGAAAGAAAGAATTAGTTCGTAGAAATAAAGATATGAAATAATTTTAATCTCATAGTTTCAGGGAAGATAAAGAATGTATACACCTACGCCATTGTGATCAATTCTGAGCCATGTCACATTAATGAACGAAAAGAGAATAATAATGTACAAATTATGAGAATTGCTGGATGTTCACTTCAGAAAATCTTATTCATTACCAAAATTATAAGTGGTTAAACAGATACCGATAAGGATTACAATTATCAATAAACGTTTACAGGTTATTTTCGTGATATTTAGAAAAATTGACTAATGCATGTGATTATAAATACTGATTAAAATAATAACTGCTTAAAATTTGTTTTAAAATGGAATTTTGTAGAGATGATCAATGTTAACTAGGAATCATGCATATATATATAAATATATATATAATATATATATCGATAGTTGCCTTGACACAAGTATCTATGTAAACACTAATTTATTATGCACCCTAGATTAATGATATCTCGTTTAAAATCTAAAACGTTTCGCTAATAAAATTGAAATGATAGACACGACAAGCAGTTGGTTCATTTATTTGAAGCAGAATTTATTGACGGCTTTTCATAAAAATGAAGTCACTTTGAATTTGGGAGGCCACTGGTCCTATAGAAAACGAACTTAATAATCAACTGCTCTTCTTATTAGTAACCTGACCGTACAAGTAACAAAACAAAAGCTTATTTTTTGAAGATATAACAAACCTGTTATCTAAACCATGCTTGGTGGTTTCATCATACGCGAACAACGATTTGAAGACACTTATTGTCATGTTATGTATTGTTTAAACACTGATTACTGCTACTGGTACGGCTGTTATTGTAGCTGAGAAATAAGCCGCTATTTTATTCTTGTCTAATGGAACAAGGCTGAAATGCCTTGACGTAAAGAATACCAGATTATTAGATGACTTATGCACCAAACACTGATTCACAACTAATCAAAATATTCAACGTTACATATCATTTTTAATGTCCGATCGTTAAATACATTTCAATGTGTTAAACTGTCAGTATATGATATTAATTGGTCAATAATTAAATATGAGTACACAATGTACAAGATCAATAGACTAGGTGCTTTAACTAACACAAATATAGAAATTACTGGGTAGTAAATTTTGCTTTTTCATAATAAATTAAGTACTTGACGTTTTTAGGCATGTTCCACTTTTCTAAACCACCTGGCGATGTCGTAGATCGATAAAGAGCAGATTATTATAAAGTAAACTCACCTCTTACTAAACAGATAGTCATTACACCTATGCTGGATATGGTACAAGCTGGGGAAGGCTGGGCAGACTCCTGTATTGATTACAATATCTCGTCAACAACCGGTCAACTAAGACGGATTTGACTTCCAAGGTAAGTGAAGCAGCCAGTACATTCAAGATGTCCCACTACCACTTGTTGCTAGTAAATAACTTAACTATAAACAGGTAATTCGGTTGACAAATATAGTGAATGAATTCATTTGGTAGTATATTATGCTGTTTACTTTGATACTGTCTGTCAGTAGGATTACAAAAATAAGCATGTCAACACTGCAATACTTAAAATTTCCCCGGCTGTACGGGATTTAAACGTAGACTATTGAATGTATAAACAAATTGTATTAATGTGAGTTGGGGTATGATATGCCTGAAACTTTTCTTCGATCTCTTTGCTCCCTGAACCCAATAATACTAAATTATAAGGTTATCTTGAAGCGAAATGATGGTTATTTGTACAGAATTAATGTTTACCAATTTAATTCTGGGTGAACTTTATCCCTATTGTCAGTATCTGGCAAAAAATATAACTCTTCAAGTTTCAAACAAAACTCACTAGGAACCGTGAATAAGAAACTCGACTATCAGTGCTTCCACAATCTGACCGACAGCTCTGAAAATCAGAAAAAGATTAAATGAATCGAGCTGAAGGAGTGATGTAGATTATATAATTTACATTGAAGTATGTGCTGTTAAACAGACAGGCACAACGAAATGGAACTCTGAAAATTGGTACACTAATCAGATTGACTATATTTTGAAACAGCACAAAAACTTATCACGAGATTTTAGGTAAGTCCGCAAAATACTAATGGGCAAAGATGATTTAAAAAATAGCAAATTAAAGATTTAAAGTAGAGAAAAATCTTATTTATTTATTTGTTTGGACACAAACATTGAAACAAAGGGGAACCAAATACACATGAGGCACAATAACAATGAGGATGTATAGTGCGTATAATAAAAAGAATAACAATGAACAGAAATTAATATGCGAGAGTGAAATAATAATAAAAATAATAGTAATAATAATAATTATTATTATTATGCGACAAGCAGTTAAGTTAGGAGAAATACAATCATAAAGAATTCTTTCAGGTATGGAAGTTATGTTCACATTTATGAAAATGAAATAAAGTTACAGCAGGATCGCCACTTCCTGCTATTTTGGGCTACGTTCGATCACGTCTCAAGACATTGTTGTACCATCTCAAGAAATCCAACCAGAGAGTCATGAAGGACCAACAGAAGCGAGTCCTGTACTGCTTTCTTTCATGCCGCGACACCATGTCGTGCACTGACCACCTCCCTGCTTTCTCCAACCGCTCCCAGTGTTGGCAAACAATGCACGATGTGGAGATCGCTGGGTGAAATTCGTAGGACATGTTCGAGTCACCGAAGTCGGTGTTTCAAGACGGTGACACCAACTGAAGTATCGTTGCTGTGACCAAACATAAGTTGCCAGACCTCGGCATCAATAAAAAAGTGTTGCCACTTGATGTCAGCAATCCTTCTCAGACAACGATGATCAAACACAGAGAGTTATCCATTTTTCACAGCCAGAGAGCAAAACTGCTTTCAGCGATGCGTTGTAGATCCGACCTTATTCAGCCAGACTAACATCACAAAGGCGCCAAAGATGGTCCAGGTTGGCATAAGCTTTTTTGGCTCTCGTTATACGTGAATTGATCTCGTCACTCACAGCCCTCCCGATACAAGTACTCGACTACTTCTATCTACTCACTACCCAAAGTGAGCGCAGATTCAGAGTCCCGTAAGTCTTGTAAAAGCAATTTGCACTTTGAAGGTGCAAAGCACATTACATAATTACGGGCACTGATTACCAACTGAACAAGTGCGGATTCCATGGCTTGGGTATCATCCCACAGTAAAACGATATCATCCGCAAATTCACGTTCAAAAAGTCTTTATCCAGGCAAAAGATCTACGCTCCTAAATGCCCTGGTAAGGCCGAGGATGGGGAGAGTCATCTCTCCATTTTGGAGTTGGAAAACTCTGATTCCAAACCAGTCATGCACATTGGTTCCAAGATCATGAGGGAACAAATGGCGTATGAACCAATCGTCAGTCACCGACTACTATGGGACTGCATCTCCTGACGTCGCTCCACCGCCTTGTGGATCAAACCTTTGGGTCGAAGGCTCCGAGTGTTTCCCCCTAAGAAAACCGCCTGCGTCGGTCTGGGCACCCGGGAAGTATCAAAGCCCACACACAAATCAAGTGACTTGTGTGGTGTATGTATTCGGCGCCCCTTTGTACCAGTATTTATGTGTTTAAATAAATAAACAAAATAAACATCAATCAGAGCTGTTTCTAGAAAGTTGGAGAAGAATGGTGAAATTGGGCAACCCTGACTAATCTCATTGCTTGAATGGAACAACGGAGAGGGGTGGTTGTATGCCCTCACTTTGCCTGAAGTGTTTGTATATAAAGCTTTCAAAATGCTAATAAACTTTCCAGGCATATCTTCCCTCAATTGGCTTCCGTCATACATCGTAGATTGTTGAAAACCCGAGAAAGATTGACTCGCGAGGAGCAGGCTGGGTTTCGTTCTGGTCGAGGATGTATTGGTCATATCTTCACCCTCCGCCAAATGTTAGAACACCGACATACTTATCAAAGGCCAACAATCGTAGTGTTTCTTGACATCATGGCTGCCATCGATTCGTTGGACAGAGCTGTTCTCTGGGATTGTCTATTGAAGAAGGGTGTGCCTAAGAAGTTTATTAACATTCTAAAAGCCCTATATACAAACACCTCAGGCAGAGTGAGGGCATACAACCACCTCTCTCCATTGTTCCATTCGAGCAGTGGGGTTAGGCAGGGTTGCCCAATCTCACCATTCCTCTTCAACTTTGCCATCGATGACATTCTGGAAACAGCTCTGATGGATGTAAGTAATGGTGGTGTGGATCTGTTGCCCGGAGAAAAACTTCTTGGCCTTGAGTATGCGGATGATACTGTCTTACTGTGCGATAATGCCCAAGCCATGCAATCCGCACTTAATCTGTCGGCAATCAGTGTCCGTAGGTATGGTACGTGCTTTGCACCTTCGAAGTGCAAAGTACTTCTACAAGAATGGCAGGATTCTAATCCTGTACTCACCCTGGATGGTGGGCAGATAGAAGTAGTCGAGAAGTTTGTGTATCTGGGTAGCTGCATAAGTGCTGGTGAGGGTGTGAGTGATGAGATCAATGCACGTATAGTGAAAGCCAGAGCGGCTTATGCCAATCTGGGCCATCTTTGGCGCCTTCGTGATGTTAGTCTGGCTGTAAAAGGTCGGATCTACAACGCGTCGGTGAGAGCAGTTTTGCTCCATTCTTGTGAAACCTGGCCTCTCCGAGTTGAGGACGTTAGAAGACTCTCTGTGTTCGATCATCGTTGTCTCCGAAGGATTGCTGACATTCAGTGGCAACACCATGTCAGTAATGCAGAGGTTCGGTATCATGTGTTCGGGCACAGAGATGATAATTCAATTGGTGTCACCATCTTGAAACACCGACTTTGGTGGCTTGGACATGTTTTACGAATGTCGTCCCAGAGAATTCCACGTCGTGCATTATTTGCCGACTCTGGGACTGGTTGGAAGAAGCGGAGAGGTGGTCAGTGCATGACATGGTGTCGTGGTATGAAAGAAAGCTGTAAAGGACTGGCTTGTGTTGGTCCTTCACGACCCCCTGGCTGGGGTCCTAAAGATGGCGGTACACAGTGGCTAGAGACGTTATCAGATATGGCTCAGAATAGAAGCCAGTGGCGATCCTGCTGTAACCTTTTACTTTCTTCATAAAAAAATGGTTGTATCTTCCTTAACTGAAAGATTTCTGATTGTACCTTTGGGCCTCCCCAATTATTACTATTATTATTATTACACTACCTTACACTAATCTGTTTGTTATTGTTTCTTTTTTTCTCTTCAAATTCTCATTTTGTGTGGCTCATATATATTTGGTGCCCTCTTGTACCAATATTTGTGTTCGAACACAATAAATAAAGGAAGCAGGTGAATTTTTCAGTTACTTTGGAATCGCTTAGTGGCTGTTCATAAATTATCCGTCAGTCAATTGTAACGTAAAACGTCGTACGTCTATACATCGATCCAAGTTGTCACACCATGAATTATAGTCACACCCAATAAACCTAGGTATCAGTAGAACAAAACTAGCATGATCACTACAAATTTTCAGCACTCTTTCGGCAGAATAGAAATAGCACTCCAGATCATGAACCACTTATTCGATATCACTTACAATAACTCTAATTCAATAATCCTAAGCATCCAACTACAGAAAAGCATGTTACATGACGTCAAGTATATATGGTACGGAGAGCTTTTAGAAAATATCTATATTTTATACCAAAATCCTCAAACCAACAGAAATGGGAGATTATATTAGTATCGATTTGTGTGGAAAAATTATAACGTGGCACTCAACAACTCTTGTTCATACTTTAGTAAATGGGTCAACGACATATGCGATAATCATAAACGATATACTATTTACCTTGTTTGTTCCTTCCTTCTTGACAAGACCTTTGAGATTATTGAACATTACCAACTGAGTAACGCAATTTACGAAACTGACGGATTCAAAATCAAATGGTTCAAATAGTTGCGGACGGAATGGTTCAAATGGTTGTGGACGGAATAGAAGAAGCTTTCGCTTAACAGGCTTCCGTGTCTAGTAGCAGGGGATCACCAAATCCTCCAGGCAGGAACCTAGGTATGTTAACAAGAAAAGAGCAAAAGAAATTGGTAAATCATAGTGTGATGCTGCCCTTGGTCCTTAAGAATAGGTCAAGTTGCCTCTTGAAGGACTCCTGAGAAGTCGCTTGGACTAGCTCGGCCGGCAGCGAATTCCAGCTTTTGACAACTCTTAAGGAGTAGAAATTGTGTCTACATTCCGTCTTGCTATGTTGTGTTTCCAGTTTCTGGGTATTACCCCTTAGGTTATTATTCGAACTAAGCTTAAGTAGGTGTTTAAGAGGATGTCCAGAAGTGTTAAGAATACTATAAGCCATTAATAAATCACCTCTAAGACGCCTATATTCTAGTGGGTAAAGGTCTAGTGAACGGAGGCGTTCTTCGTAAGGCTTAGATTTGAGTCCTCGAACTGATTTCGTGGCTCGCCGTTGGATACGCTCCAAAGTGACCTTGTCTTTTTGGAGTGAGGGGGGAGTACTATGTTTCCGTACTCTAAATGGGGACGGATAAAACTATTGAAGATTGTGTGGAAAGTTCTTCCGTCAAACTGGCCAAAAATGCGCCTCAACGTTACCAGTGCAAGGTTTGCTCGGAAGGCATTTTTGTCACAGTTAGCGTAAGACTTTAAATCATGGGGCACCAGGACTCCTAAATCTTTTTCGACTTGGGATACTACTAGAGAGGAGTTTCCTAAGTTGTAACTGTAGTTTGCAACATGTCGCAGATGGACTACTTTACACTTTGAAGTGTTAAAGGTAAGTCCGTTATCGTCTGCCCAACTTTGAAGTCGAGTCAGATCCTCCTGAAGTGCCTGTGTATCGTCTTGGTTGCGTATCTCTCCCCAGAAGAAGCTTTCGCCTAACGGGCTTCTGGGTCTACAAGCTGTGGATCACCAATATCACCAGGCAGAAACCTAGGTATATTAACGATAACAGAGGAAAAAATGGTAAATCATAGTAAGATATCTTTAGTCCTTAAAAATATATCAACTTGCCTCTTAAAGGACTTCTGGGAAGTCGCTTGAACTAGTTCAGTCAGCACCGAATTCCAGTATTTGACAACTCTTAAAGTGTTGAAGTTGTGTCTACAGTCCGTTCTGCTATGTTGTGTCTCTAGTTTCTTGGTGTTACCCTTTAGGTTTGTGTTGGAGTTTGTAGCAGTAATAAATCTCCGAAATAAATAGCTCTGTAAGTTTTCGACATTGGATGCTGACCACATGTTTTGATGGACTCACCTAGCTGAAGGCGCTAGGTCATGCATCCGCTCCAGATCACGTGTGAAAATGCCGTGTTCAATAACCCTTGCAATCATTAGCCTGATTAGATCAGTCGATTCACGATATATTGATAGCCTCTCAGATATATCTTCGAACCTCCTCTCCTCTGTCTTTTGATTTCACTTGGTGAGTATGTAACAGCTTAGGTTGGTTGGTTAAGAGTTGACCCCAAACAACCAAGTATATGCCAAAACAGTATTGTTCAAGTATTCATTCACTTCCTCAGATATTCTTATTCCACATTCTCACACTTTCTCTTGAAAGCACGCAGCAAACCGTCGGCGATAGTTGTAGAAGAAATCACATGCTACAAAATAAGATGACAAGCTAGTAAAGAAGAGACATCCATGGACTATTGTTGACAGCGTCAGTCCTCACTGATTGTAAGTCAAACAGTGAGCGAGTTGATAATTTTCCCTTGGGATGAGAAATAGAACTAAGGCCTTTTCGATAGTTAGGTTAATCGAACCGACGTTCCTACGGAAGTCGATTCTAGGGGGAAGCTAATGTAACAGCTTAGGTTGGTTGGTTAAGAGTTGACCCCAAACAACCAAGTATATGCCAAAACAGTATTGTTCAAGTATTCATTCACTTCCTTATTTTGTATAAGCGTTATATTCCCTATTATCTTATATTGAATGTTGAGAGCCTTTGTTTGTCTGACCAGATAATCCCATGCTCCACTGTGACCGCGCTAAGATCGAAATAAAGACCTATTCACTACTTGTCTGGTTTCTTCTATCAGTAGCACGAGGGTTACTTTAAGGCACGAAAAGTACGCTTCATAATAGAATGTGTTACTGATTAAAGCGTTGTCAAACTCCGAATACCTGTGGCATCTTCAAGCTAAACTGAAGTACGTGTTTAAGGGGATGTTCAGAGGTGTCAAGTATACTATAAGCCATTAGAAAATCATCTCTAAGACTCACATCCTCTAGTGGGTAAAGGTTTAGTGGGTTTGAATTTGAGTCTCTGAACTGATTTCATGGATCGTCGTTGGATACGTTCCACAGTATCCTTATCCTTTTGCAGTAAGAAAGGAAATACTATGTTTCTGTGCTCTAAATGGGGACGGATGAAGCTGTTGGAGGTTGTGTGGAAAGCTCTTCCATCAAATGGTCAGAAATGCGCTTCAATGTTACCAGTGCAAGGTTTGCTCGAAACCTATGATCCAACTTACTGCGTCTGTTGAATGCATTTACTATGAGATCGTGCACGCTTCGTGGAATCACCCTTTGTAGTTGTCGCACTGTATGCAAGATGTGACAGCAAAATGGCATCCAGGTCGTTTGCATGAATTTTTCATGACTATAGTGACGTAAATTATTTTTTAGATCCTAGAGAAAACCTAAGACCGTAAAAAAAACGTACACTGAAAACGCGTAAAAATGGATGAAAACGGGTGGTACAAAAGGTTAGGATAAACTAAAGCTAGCTTTTACTTGAAAAACTGGAAAAAAAACGAATAGTAAGCTAAGGCAAAACCACAGTTAAATATTAAGTTGGATAAAACTCAAAAAAGTAATCTACCCAACGTATAGCTCAGAACAGATTCTTTAGATCAGAAATGGTACTTCTGTTGCGTTAGAAAACAGTAAAAGTTTGAAAAATGTAAATCACGTTAGGACTTATCTTCCCGTTCGCAAAGCGCGCACGTTGTCCTACAGCCTATAGTGGTTCTTTTCTAGTAAACTTCTGAGAGTGTCTGTCCTTGTCTGTGGTGGGACAGAGTGAAGAGATCTAGCTTCTCAAGCCACTTCTGTTTGGTAAACCCCGGGGTTCTGGAATTGCACGGGTAGCTGCCCTCCGTAATTTTTCCAAAATGTGACACATCCAATCGTTACTAATTCCAACGCAAGCTGTCAGTATTATGTATTAGCTTAGTTTTGCTGATAATATCGGAGGGTACGGCAGCATGATCACTTTTCTCCAAGGGTGTCACGATTGAGTGGTTGTCAATTAGGAATCTTATGTTTGTAAGTATTCGCTCTGAGCGTTACGGCGTCTGGCTATTTCTTCGCCGAACTGCTGTCTTCACGGCAGTAGACCGCGGTCTTACGATCATGACTCACTGTCACCCTAAGATACTTGTGAGACCGGTTCACGGGTAATGGCACTTCCCCTATGCCGTATCCATTTGCCTTTGTATCCCCAAGGTGCGAGTAGATACACTTCGTCGTGTTGGTATGTACCAGACACCCTTCAAACCACCTAGTCAGAATATTCGAGCCCGACGGTAGTGCTCATGCAGGTGAAGGACCTAAGATAAAGTCCTGTGATATTCCAGTATGCACTGGCTTCCAGATGGAGCACTAAGAATTTACTTTAACGTACTAGAAATCCTTGATCCGTTTTGGGGTAGATCCGTCAATGCCTAAATTTTCAAGCTCCAGTGGCAGTCTATTCGTTGCCACCTTATCAAATGATTTGCTGAAGTCTATGTATACTACATCCACTGGCTTTCAATTGTTTATGTCCTCTATTCATTGATCTTTTGCTACAATGAGATCTGTTGTGCATAAGTATCCTTTACCAAAACCATGTTGTTCGCTGTTTAACGGGCTGTTGGTTTCCACGAATGTCATTATGGTCTTTTTGACTATTCTTTTCAGTATTTGAACTACGGCACTAGTGAAGCTAAGAGATTCTTAGTTCGATGAAACTTGTCTTGATCCCGTTCTGTGTATTGGAGTGACGACTGCATCCTTCCAGTCTGTAGGTAGCTCACCTCAGTCAAGTGACACATGGAATATTGTAGTCAGGGCGCAACAATATATGGTTCACTTTTTCTCAAGATTTTAGGGTGTAGCTAAACTGGTCCTTCTGATTTTTGCGTGACCGATGTACTGGAGACCTCCAGTACACCAATGTGGTCAAAGTCCACAGTGAGCATTTGATTTTGTGACGTTTTCCTTGGACATATTCCTTCTAGAAAGGACACCTTTGAGAAAACTATCCTGGAATGTTTTGCCATGGCATCTACTTTGTCCCAATCCTTCTCTGTAATTTGAGATCCGCTCCCTTCCTTAATTGGGTTGGAGTTCAATTCTGCGTTCCTGTTCTCTGATTTATGCACGAGAACAGTCTTTCTGGCTACTTGATTACAGGTTGGGTCAACTGCATATCATATTTTCGCTGAGCTGCCAGAGTTGTAATTATACACTTATTTCGTACCGACCTGTAGCGGTACATTGTATTTGTTATGCCAAGGCTGATGGCGATGTTCCAACGTTTCTTCTCTTGTCTCAGTAAACTTCGAATATCCCGGTTGATCAAGGGGCAACCGTACTTCTTTTTCTTTGTGACCGTCCAATGTATAAATTGTTGAGTTACCTGATTGTATAGCTGCCGGAAACAAATCCATGCCTCCTACTAATGCGGCTGAGTCGGATTTTCAGTTTTCAGTCGATGCTGCAAAGTTGATCACCTTCATGTCTGCCTTCCATATGTTAGGACGTGTCGGCTTATCTATTTGACAGGCTATCTCAGCCATGAACTTGAATACGTTGACTGTATGATCGCTTCTAGCCATGGTTGGAAGGAAGGCTTGTAGGATTATGGTCTACTGTGAT